TTGTGTGTTCTGGATCACAGTATCCGGAATTTTTTCTGGATCAGGATCAACTTTTGATACCTTATAAAACTCATTGAGATCCTTTTGTGTAATTTTTTACTAAAGACTCTGGCCATTTTTACCTCCGCTAAGGAGGTTATGTTTTTGGTAGCGTTGGTTTGTTTGTCTGTTAGCAACTTTACGGAGAAAGTAACAGACGGATTGACCTGAAATTTTCACCAGAGCTCAGCCCCAGGAGGATCCCATTAAATTTTGGTGGTGATCCGGACAAAATTCTGGATACTGTGATCCAGAACACACAAAAATAAGGGTGTCGTTGAATACTCACTGCTGAAAGATAAGCATTGGGCAGCACAGTGGTGTAGTGGTTAGCACTGTTGCCTCACAACCAGAAGGTCCTGGGTTCTGGGTTCAGGGCATTTTTCGTTTAAGGGGGGACATGAAAAAGTGGAAAAGACATATTTCTCATATATTCTTTTTTAAGTCTTTCTACTTGTTATTAAAAGTTGTTGTTAAAATTAGGGCCATGAAGCATTTAAAGGAACTGTGCTTCAGTATAGGTTTCACAAACAAGGAGATACTTCATCCTCTGGCACATCAGCATCACATCGTCACAAGTATAAAGAATATATGATAAATATGTCTTTTCCACAGGGAAAAAAAACTGGTGGACTTGAAGGAAATCGCTGCTTTTGTGGAGGCAGAAATGGATATGCAGAGGATATATCTGTCAATGCAGCCGTAAATATCCGTGAATGACATTGAGCTTCAGTGTATGATATGAATCCATATGCCATAATAAGGTGTTGGTGTCTCTGCAGGTGTAGGCTACCGCTGGTGTCAGAGACGTGGTGCTCGTCGGAGCTCGACTCCCTGTGGATCACAAATGTTGATCATCAGTTTGATTGTTTCTTCAGAAACCACAAAAACTCTCTGAATGACCCACTGATACATCCACCGATAACCCTGCAGATGACCAGCTTCAGTCATTTCCCCCTCCACAAAAGCAGCTTTATGTCCTTATTTACTTTATGACTTTATTCTCCTAAATTTACAACTTTAATCTCTAAATCTTAAAAGAAAAAAAACTCAATGTTGTCCTAATACTCTGCTGTAGTTTTGTCAGCTTTCTTATTTCTAATGTTTTTGATTGCTGAAGCAGAGCGGATCAGTTGTCTCTAAATCTATAATGTTAGGTTTGCAGATTTTAGTGAGTTCAGAGATCATGTGCTCATACAGCCTGAGCTGACTGTCTGCTGTTTTTGGATTTCTTGCATTTTTTTTGAAGACATGCTGTGTCTCCAAGCGAGTCCAGCCTCTCACCCGAAATGCGCAGCTGTGCAGCGGCACGCAAAGAATTCTGGGATACCAACGGCACGAAAGCTAGATAAATGCACGCTTGAAAAATGCTAAGCGCTCTTAGCATTTCGTGCCAAATGGGACACTGTTCGCGCCGCGTGATGACATCATGCACGCTTCAAATGCGCCGTTATGTGCCGTTCGACGGTGCGGTCTCTGAAATGGGACACATGCTGCGTCCAAATTGCCAAGTAGTAGTCGAAGTAGTATGCAGCATGTCCGAATTGGCCACCGGAGCAAGTAGCATGCTACTTCAGATACTACTTCAGATACCAGACACACCCACATTGTAGGATGGTCGCGGTGCATCCTACGGGCATGCTACTGACCCAAAATGCAACGCGGGCTTCTTCTTCGTCCTCTTAAAAGTTGTAGAAGCGCATGTGATGCTAGCGCCACCAGCTGCTGCCTATTTAGATGCGTCGCGAACGCCGGCTGGCCACAGCAGCGTGCACCATGGCGGAGCAGCAGCAGCAGCAGGCAGGACCGCAGCAGTACAGATGTAATTTTCATGTAACTTCGCACACTGTCCTAAAAAATGTGTGGGTGTATCTCTTTGTCATGTCATGGTGACATATTTGCCCAAGTAATCATTGTAGCTGCGTCCGAATTGCCAAGTAGTAGTCGAAGTAGTAGTCGAAGTAGGATCTAGCATGTCCGAATTGGCCACCGGAGCGAGTAGCATGCTACTTCAGATACTACTTCAGATACTAGACACGCCCACATTGTAGGTTGGTCTCGGTGCATCCTACGGGCATGCTACTGACCCAAAATGCACCACGGGCTTCTTCTTCGTCCTCTTAAAAGTTGTAGAAGCGCATGTGATGCTAGCGCCACCAGCTGCTCTGCCTATTTAAATGTGTCGCGAACGCCGGCTGGCCACAGCAGCGCGCACCATGTCGGAGCAGCAGCAGCAGCAGGCGGGACCGCAGCAGTAAAGATGTAAGTTTCATGTAACTTCACACACTGTCCTAATAAATGTGCGGTTGTATCTCTTTGTCATGTCATGGTGTCATATTTGCCCAAGTAATCATTTTTTGAGCAAATATGTGGCGACATCATGGAAGTAAAGCTCACTTATTCCATCATTAAACTGCACAGCTGCAGCACTACAGCCAGGCCAGCAGATGAGGGGCTTCAGTTACCACTGTCTGCACGGGCGCAGTACCTACTCTCTGCCTGCGGGGGTCGTCTTTTACCACCACTCGTCTAGTGTGTCCGAATTGGGCCAACGTGTTTAGTATGTAGGAGTAGGATCTAGCAGTAGTATGTAGCAGTAGCATGTAGTATCCGAGCGGGCAATTCGGACGCAGCTTTTATGAGCAAATATGTGGCGACATCATGGAGGTAGAGCTCACTTATTCCATCGTTAAACTGCACAGCTGCAGTAATCAGGCAGATCTCATTGAACAAACGATCACCACGTGAGTGAATGAAGGCTAAAAGTCATGGAAAAGCTACTTTGTGAATTTCTAAAGCAGTGCAGGAATATAATACAGCAGCATCCATCACTTGCACAATTACCATTCAAAGTCTAAAACGGGCACAGTACCTACTCTCTGCCTGCGGGGGTCGTCTTTTACCACCGCTCGTCTAGTGTGTCCGAATTGGGCCAACGTGTTTAGTATGTAGGAGTAGGATCTAGTAGTAGTATGTAGCAGTAGCATGTAGTATGCGAGCGGGCAATTCGGACACAGCAACAGCCTCAGGCTGTGTCCGAAATGGCATACTACTCCTACTAACCCCGCCTCTGAATTGAGTAGGCAGTGCGTTCACACTGTACATTATGCGAATTTTGTGTATGCGAGAAATGCCCGGATGTATACTCAATCGGCTCCAATTTCTGAGGCTGTGTCCGAAATGGCATACTGCCTACTATGTACTTACCTACTCAAGCAGTAGCTACTGCCTACTGACTACTCAAAGATGATTTGAGTATGCCGCGGCTGCCCGAGCGTTTACACACATACATACTAAATACCCCAGAATGCATTTTTGTGCCGGCCGGAAGCAGCGCTGGGAAAATTTAAATAGTCCTACCGCACGCTTCAAAAACGACTGCATACCGGACAGACTGTATAAATTCAATCAGAGAAAGTAAGTGTTTACATCACGATTATGAGCCCAGTTGTTTGAAAAGCTGCTGTTTGTAAATTTGCCTCAGCGTTTTCGGAGACCGAAACGTCCGCTTGGTGGGTGTTTGCGTCTACATGCCGTAAATACTGGGCAGCAGCAGCTCCCCCTTCACGTTTCCAAATTATTGCGAAGTGTTTTCATAATCAACAGCGACGCGACTCAAACTAAGCGGCAGTGGATTCATAAAAATTACACAAACATCTGTGTATCCATGGTGATAACGCTATACATCACCTGCTGGGCGTATGATGAGCAGCATAGGGCTGCAAAATGACCAACACGCAACATAATTATGACCTTGTTCGGTTATTCCTTGGCAAATACATAATTTCCCAACTACATTCTTCTCATGTACAATGATAATTTCAGAAACCATCGGGTCGTTCTGCCTGGTGTAGGCTGACAACCAAGCCATGCAAGGAGACGAAGGCATCTTTTCTTCAGGGCAGCTATATACTTCCTGATGGATTTTCAACCACAAGTAAGAATTATTAAAGCTCACAGATACATTGTCAACTGGAAACTCCCCCGTTTGTATATTTTGAACCATGTGCTCTCTACCAATAATAATTCTTATTAATCAGAGGTCTGTGCTTAATATGAGTGACCACTTTGATGATGCATTTAGAGATGAGAAGATGCTCAAACTTGTTGTAATAAATACATCTTTAATAGACACTTAAATAAATAAAGTCAATTCATATGAATAGTTAAAAACATTACCTACAATCTTAATTTAAAATACAAATAAATCTGGTAAAAAGATAAAAAAAATATTATTGCAATCACATGCCACCAATGTTTTTCAGCTTCGGGAAAGAGGGCCATATTGCCAAATTAACCATCATGTCCCTCTGGTACGCCTGTACTTTGAGGGGGGTGACCTGCGTAAGGACTTCAGGCTGACCAGGCCCTCCCTGGAGCACCTCATCCACCTTCTCCAAGGGGACCATTATCATGGATGGGGGAAGGCACTTGAGGTGCTTGTTTTTCTTTACTGGCTGGCCTGTGGCACATCATATCGGGTCGTTTCAGGGGCCTTCAACATCCCTCATTCAACGTGCCACGATATGGTCCACCGGGTCAGCAGCGACATCCAGCAAGTTTTCCAGAGATTCATCCGTTTGCCCAACAGGGCTGAGTTGGAGGAAATTGGGGCTGGGTTCCAGCAGTTGGCTGGTCACCCAGCTTTCTGCAAAGTGGCAGGAAGTATCGACGGATGTCATGTCCGCATTGTGCCCCCTTGACAGTTTGGAGCAGACTTTTTTAACAGAAAACTGTTCCACTCTGTCCAGTTTCAGGCCATTGTGGACCACAAAGGACGCTTCCTAGACGTGCATGTCGGTTTCCCTGGCTCTGTGCATAATTCGCGGGTCCTCAGGTGCAGCCCTGTGTACGTGCACCAGCTATACCCTCCTCCAGGATGGTGCCTATTAGGGGATAGGGGTTATCCCTGCATTTCACAACCACTCACCCTTATCACCCCATTCAGGGAGCCTTTGCGGAACCCCACCGAGGAGAGGTTCAATGCCAGGCATTTTCGGGCCAGGAGTGTGGTGGAGAGGGCATTTGGAGTCCTGAAAACCAGGTGGCGCTCCATATTTCTCAAGGCCCTGGAGGTGAAGGTTGACTTCGTTTCTGAGGTCATTGTGGACTGCCTTTTCCTCCACAACCTCTGCCTCGGGCACGGGGACATTTTGGAGCCAGAGGACGGTGAAGAGGTTGATGGGGATGATAACTGTCTGGCGGCAGCTCATGACCTGGCCCAACAGAGTGGTGATGCCTTCAGGGATCGGATGGCAGCAGCAATGTCAGTTCCAGAGGAGCAGATCCCTGCACTGAGGGAGCATGATTATTTATGAGCGTTATAATAATAGTCATTGTGAATAGTTAATGTTATTGTTAGTTATATTGTAGTTGTAAATAGTTAGTATTATAGTATATAGTTAGTATAAGGATGGTTTACAGCGCAATCTTTGAAGACTATAAGTCTTGATGATTCTGTAAAGGTTTTTGTTACTTCCTATTATTGGTTCTTTATGAGGATTTATTCTTGATTTTTTGAAAAGGAGGATATGTTAGTTTTATGATTTGTTCTATAATTTTATGAAATTAGTATCTTATTTTTTATTTTTTGTATACGTAAAAATTGTTGGGTAGCCTAATATGTGCATAAGCTTTTGCTTCGGCCTGTGCCTTTTCAGTCACTTTCTTCATGATATTGTTTGTAAATGTAAATATTAAGTTGTATTGTGTCTGTGACTGAATAAAATCTTCACTCACTCTTCTTCTTCTTCTATTATACTTATTTTATTGTAGTTATCATACTATTTATAGTTATACTAATATTATACTAATTATACTATTATATTTATACTTTGTTAGTATTATACTTATGGTACTAATGGTTAGTATTATACTTACCTATCTATAGTAAGAAAGTGGTCTCTTGCATGTGAAAAGATGGATGTGGAGATATTTTTGCACAAAAGAAGCATGTTTACACTAATCCTAGGTATGTGGGTGATTACATAACTGCTTTCAAATAAATACTATGCCATTCCTGCCTCTATTCCTTTATGTACCGTGCAAATATGTTAAGATTAGTCATGGAACAAGAACAATCTTTTAATTTTATAACGATAACAAAACCATGAAGCAACAAACTAAAACTTTACAAAGAATAGGTGACCAAGATAATACAATAATTTGTGAACTTAAAACTTGGTCTGTAAAATAAACATAAATATCAAATGAACACATTATTTTGAATTAAAAAGTCTTTCAATTAACTCCATCCACCTCTCTTCTCTCACTCTACTCTCCCTTTCTCTTTCCTCTCTCTCTCTCCTTTCTTCCATTGCTCTTCTGTCCATCCACTCTCTCCACTCACGCTCTCTTCTATCTGTATTCCTTCCTTTCCTCTTCTCTCTACTCTCTCTCTCTCCTTACCCATCTTTCTTCCATCTCTCTCTTTTCCTGCCTCTCCCTCTCCTCTGCCCGACGTTCCCGCTCCTCTGCCTGCCAAATCTTTTCATCCTCCCTCTCCTCAAACTCTTTTACCCACTCCTCGAACCACTCTCTGCTCCGTGAGTCGCTTGTTCTCCTCACTCTCACAGGAGGAGACTCAGAAGGGGGATTTGGAGGAGAGGCCACTGCTGCTGGTGTAATGGATGAGGTGATGAGGTTGGGCGGTGATATGGCGGGACGGTCCCTCATCACCTCATCCATGATATTAAACCATTTCCAGCTTGCAGCAGTGGCCTCTCCTCCCTCTGTGCTGACCCCCGTTGGTGGTGCCTTGAGAACCTGGCAAATGACACACACACAAAGATAATCTGATAACATAGGTCCCTCTCACACTGACTGTTTCAACTCTGACATAGTCAGATTATATAGTAAAATTTAAAAACATAAGCATTCACTGTATTGATGCGAAACATAAATACTGAAGTGTTTGTCACACCTCCACCTACCTTATACTTCTGCTTTAGGTTTTCCCATTTTTTGGGGGGAAAACTTGGGTCCACTTGGCCCTCCAGCCCATGCTCCTTGATGAAAGCCCTAAACAAGGATGACAAACAAGGGGCAATCAAAAGGGCATATGAACGTGGCAAGTGCCTACAAGCCACTCATATTATTCATATTATTTCTGCATTAGGCAGTAGCTTTTTCCCCATCTTGTAATAAACCCATAGCAACTCTCGTATTATGTTCTGTCGAGTGGTGGGGAGCGTTTGCGGCTCGTAGAATGCTGCTCTGATAACAATAAATCTAAAGGCCGACCTGGCCAACGTTTGTGTTCCAGTCGGCTCCAGTTGAAGCGTGTATTTACAATAAATAAATCCACGGCGCAACGGCGCATGAACAAAAATGTCTTACTCAAAACCCTTTAGGGCGGCGTTCCTTCTTCCCGTGAACAGGGCTTCGTTCCGTCCCCGCCACCAGATCAGCCGCTCAGTATCCTCATCTGTCCCTGAAGGAAAACATAGCAGTATTTATAATGCGACATCACGGGTCCACATTACTGTTTAGTTGCGGCTACGGCATAAGCTAACGTGCTAACCAAATGGCAGGCTGACTGGTCGTCGAGCAGCGCATAAACTCAAACGTCAATACAACTATTATCTGCGCGGCTAAGTGCCACAATATAAAATTAGATAACTTACATTTATGAGCGCTTTTTTGCTCGTGCTTGACGCTGCTGCCGGCTGTCTCCATGTTGACTTTCGTTTTTTCGCGGCAGAAGTCCGCAATGCATTGTGGGGCAGAAGCAGTACGTGAAGCAAGCTCCGTTGCACACTCAGAAATCGAAGCCGATTGAGTATACATCCGGGCATTTCTCGCATACACAAAATTTGCATACTGTACAGTGTGAACGCACTGCCTACTTAATTCAGAGGCAGGGTTAGTACGAGTAGTAGGAGTAGTAGGCCAATTCGGACACAGCCTGGGTCTGAGGCAGGCTTATACTGCCACCTGCTGAAAAGTTCATACTGTGAGATTCTGTGTTTTCCAGCATGATGGACAAGGGAGTTTATGAATTTACCCCCATTTTTGGGGTTATATTTTTCTTTCTGTTGCTTTCTGTTGTTGTTTCTGTGTTGTTGTTTTTTTTAATAACATAAAGTTTTAGTTCAAAAACTGAAAAATTTCATTTGTTTTCAGTTTAATTTGTTTTGATATAGTTTATATCCCTTATGCATCAGAACTCAACTAAGGAGCAGCAAAGTCTGGTCTCTCTGAATTTTCTCACCACGGTAGCAGCTACCAAAATTGATATGTCGTCGACCATAGTTATATATATATAAATAAAAGCTAGATGGCTTGCACACGCTGTTGGCCAATGGAGACTGACGTCAGGGCATGGCGGCCATCTTGCGACAGACAGCCCACCCATTCATAACATTACAGTCTACAGGGCATGTAGCATTTAAATAACCATAGATTGCTTAATTTTAAACTGATGTTCAAACGGTTTGGTCTGTAACAAACCTCAGGATTTAAGTTATGTTCCTGCATACTCAAGAATAATTTCAACCACAGAGGTAGGTAGGTAGAGCAATAGCCATCAGTCTACACACACAAAGTAGTTATATCAAATCATTTATATATAAAACAGTCAATCATTCCATATGCGTTATATTGGTAATATTTCTATTATAGGATAACTATAATAACATATATCAACATATATCTGTTGCGCCTTTCTGTATATCCGTTCTGTGATAGAAAACTATATCTAGCATATTGTTGATGTCATGTAAAATTTTTTTATCTTCATATTTTACCTTTTTTACCTTTTACCTGTTGAAACAAAAGAGCATATCTGCCCCTCCCACTGATGAGATATTGCTGGGTCAACTTTTCAACACGTAATTGGTCCCACCCACAGCCAGCCTAAGTCTGTTAGCCAAGTTAGACAGCTGAAAAACACAAGCACATCCACAAAGACTGTCACTTAGACAAAAAAAAAAAATGGCTGTCATACAAGAAATTAAAATCTCGATTGCGGTCTCAGCCTTGACAACTTGTGCAAAGCGATTAATAATTAGCCATTGCACACAAATAGCCGTGAAACAACTGTGCTGCAGGATTAAGTTATTTTTCTCTAAAAAAAGCTGCCATTTCAATATGTCCAAGCACCCCAACTCATAGCTGCGTTATTAAGGTATGTACAAAAACAAAACCATTTGTAAATCTATCAAGATTTCAGGGAGTATTTCTGATCATGCAGATTACTCACCTTCCCTCAGCTACCATAGGACGTACCAGAATGGTATACTGGAGAAAGAAGGCCGCTGTGTAGGGACAGGTGACTCCGCCTCAAGTTATCTAGCCTTTCTTAAAGCTATCTATGTCGTCGACGCCGGTTGAGGAGGGTGCGTCACGTGGAGATGATAACAACTAGTGAGTATCATAAGTGTCCTCCGAGGGTTTTTTTTCTATATTGAAAAGTATCCCGTTAAGTTATGCATTAAAAACTTTACAAAGTATATACCGCAGAGAAGTACTCCCTCTGCATTAAAACGATCCCCGTCAGTGTTATAGCATTAAATTAATATTGCTTTAATGTGTGTAACCATTTACTGATGTTTATAAAATAATCGATTTTGATCACAATGATTATAAAATAAGAGGAACTTTATTTCTCCCCAAGGTTAAGTTGGAGATATATATATACTATAGATAGATAGATAGATAGATAGATAGATAGATAGATAGATAGATAGATATAACCTGTCCCTTTACACATTCTTTTAAAAACAGCCTATTATAAAAGATAAAATGTTGTAATTTTCCTTTTAAAACCAATTTTACTGTCTGTACTGTAAATCAGTGTAAGAATGTGCAGAACAAACAGAAGCAGCAGCTGTGACTTATTCATGAGAGTTTATTAATATTATCACACTGATACAGGAGAACACCTGGTAAAGATCTGAATAAAGAGGGAAAATACAGAGAAACTGGGAGAATGACCCAGCTGTTTCTGAGACTGGGAGGTCTAGCCTTTATTAAGTCATTTGAGTTTGCTTCTCATTCAGAGCTGGTTTACTCTGATTATCTCCAGTTAAGAATATCACCTCAAAGAACAATCACTGTAACATATTTAACTACCTGGGAATAGGTAAAGGTTCTGACTGTTTTCAATATTTGTCTATTTATTCTCAATTTAACTTTGATCAAGACATAGAAAAACAAAAAATATCGAAATAAAACTGATTAACTTCAAAAATTCTGATTTCACATTTCTTCTATCATTTCTTCTTTTTGTTTGTTATCATATCTTTATATATTTTTTATTTTAAACCTTTTTGTCAGTACAGTTTCTCATTTGGAGCTGCTGAGCTCTTACAGCTTTTGCCAGAAAATTATTTCAAGAAGACACTTTAAATGTTGTATTTCTTCAAGGAAAACTATGAATTTAAACACAACAGAGGAGTAAAAGATATTTCTAATGCTGAGTGATGCTTATCTGAAAAACTAACAGTAACAATAAACAAACACAAATTAAACTACACATACAGTTTTTTTCTGTATTTTTGTGTGAACATTAGTTTTAAATAAATGAATTTTACTTAAGGACAATGAATCCTCCAACATTTACACCTGATAAATAAAACCCGGCTTCAGATAAACCAGGAGAATAAAAACTTAATCAAATATTAAATTCCTTCTTCTAAATTATGTTTGGTCAAAGTTCAGGTTAAAAGACACCTTTTGCCTCATAAATATTCAGATTACATGTGATAATAAGAAGACTGAGTGTAAATCTGTATTAAACTGATAAAATGATGTATAGACAGGATCAGGTGCTGCAGTCAGTAGTCGTCATCTCCTCCACAGATCTTCAGCAGAGATTTTGCATAATCTCCTCCACAATCAGACTAAAACACAGACAGATAGACCACAGCTTCAGTAAGTAATTAACGGGTGAGCCACAGGTGAGCTATACACAAGCTGCAGGGAAGCTTTAGGAGAATTACATGCAAGCAGCAGGGGAGTTACATGTGAGCTACAGGTGACCTACATGCAAGCAGAAGAGGAGCTTAAGGTGAGATTCATGCAATCAGCAGAGGAGCTTTAGATGGGATACAGGTGATCTACATGCAAGCGGCAGGAATGTTACAGGTGAGCCACATGCAAGCAGCAGGTGAGCTACAGGTGAGCTACATGCAATCAGCAGAGGAGCTTCAGGTCAGCTTCATGCAGGCAGCAGGGAAGTTACAGGTGAGAGACATGCAAAAGCAGCAGGGAAGCTTTAAGTAAGCTACACACGTCATGTTCTACATGTGAGCTACATGCAAGCTGCAGGTAAGCTATGGGTGAGCTACATGCAATTAGCAGAGGAGCTTCAGGTGAGATTCATGCAGGCAGCAGGAAGTTACGGGTGAGAGACATGCAAAAGCAGCAGGGAACCTTTAGGTGAACTTCACACGTCATGTTCTACAAGTGAGCTACATGCAAGCTGCAGACAAGCTAGAGGTGAGCTACATGAAATCAGCAGAGGAGCTTCATGCAGGCAGCAGGGGAGTTACTGATGAGAGACATGCAAAAGCAGCAGGGGAGCTTTAGGTGAGCTACACACGTCATGTTCTACAGGTGAGCTACATGCAAGCAGCAGGGATGTTACAGATGAGCTACAGGTGAGCTACATGCAATCAGCAGGGATGTTACAGGTGAACAACAGGTGAGCTTTGTGCAAGCAACAGGGGAGCTACAGGTGAGATACAGGTGATCTACATGCAAAAGCGGCAGAGGAGGTTTAGGTGAGCTACACACCAACTGCAGGTGAATCACATGCAAGCAGCAGGGGAGCAACAGGTGAGCTACATGCTGGCTACAGGTAAGCTACAGGTGATCTCCAGGGAGGGTGACCAAATGTCCCGTTTGCCCAGGACATGTCCTATCTTAATGTCCTGTCCTGGTTTTTGGTCATCAAAATACAGTCAACCTTATCTACAAGTGAGCTGGCAGCTATACGCCAGCTACAGGTGAGCAACAGGAGATCTACAGGTGAGCTCCATGCAAGCAGCAAGGGAGCTTCAGGTGAGTAACATGTAAGTATCAGGGGAGATACAGGTGATTTACAGGTAAGCTACAGGTGATCTACAGGTGTATCTGTGTATACTTAAAATCATGATTCAAAAAGACAAACTGATCCACAGGTATCCACATCTGTACGGGTGAGCCTCCGTGTTTTGCCTGATAGCTGTGGTAATTAGACATTAGTCTGAGGGTGAAGAAAGAGTGAGAGAAGACAGGTGAGGGTTAGGCTGGTTACTTTTGTCTCAGGTGAGCTCAGGTTTTAGTTAGTCGTCTCCTCCACAGATGACCTTCAAAGCTTCTCCAAGTTCCCCCGACAGATCAGACTGAAAGACACAACCACAGACCAGGAGAACACACCACCAAGACCAGTTAGGCCAAGACTGACCACTGTCACAGTCTAAGCAGTCAGAACATTCAGGGCTGTGCAGTTTTTGCGCCTGCGAAATCTGTGCAGGACTGATACACAAAGCACACAGATGGTTTAAATGTACCACAAACTGCTCCACAAACAGCATCACTGTGCACCACTGCTGTTAGCATTAACTTACACCAGTCAATATACATTTATTGGTGCAAACATTCCCCTTGCTAAATGACCCCAAAATAATCTTTCAGTACAAACTTCTGCTGACATGACTTTGACTTCAGAGCGCTTATCATTCGAGGGTAAATCAGCCTCAGTCTCAGCACAGAGGGCCTGCACTGTCACGCTCAACTTATTTCTTTATCTCTGAACATGCTGCTTTGTACAGATCTGATCTCTGTCAGGACGAGACCTCGCAGTTTAGCTCTGTGCAAAAGCTTTGTGCTCAGACCTTTAGACTAAGCAGACAACAGGGTCAGTGACATGCATTTCTTGGTGCGATAAACAGCTGCAGTCCATTTTTTGTGAATCCCTCTCAGTGTGCAGACAGTCCAGTTCTCTTAGACTGCTGCACTCCAGCTCAGGGTTAGTGCAGGTTAGTACCTCTTCAGGTCTCCACTAATTTACCAGGATAGATTGATAAGTGTAGCAGAGACAACCACTTTCTCAACCCCAAAGGAATGTAAGGCTTACATCTGATCACCAAAGAAGAGATGGTGTAAACCTAACACCAAATAACATTTTTTCTACAACCTCCTGTCTTTATTCCAGACAACCTTCTCAAAAGGACAAACATTTTATCCTTCCCATGTCAAGGAGACAAAGACAGGATCATTTATTGCAAGACATGAGCAATGGATTATTGACAACGAGAGCAACCTGTTTTTGCGGCAAGTCCTGTAAGAACTTGAGAGGTCTGAAGAGCCACCAGACTAAGATGGGCTGCACAAGGAGGAAGCAAGCAGATCAACGCACAGAGCTAGTGCTCAGCACTGCCCCTGGTGAGGCGGAGGAGGAGCAGGTCCCGGAATCACCCCACAGTGTCCAGAACCTCCAGGCCCTGCATGCTGCACCTAGCAGATCGTCTGAACACTGCCAAGTCTTATAGCCTGCCGCACACAAGGAGACCAAGTGGCGCCAGTTCAATGAGGATGTGGATACCGCCTTAGAAGCATCATCAAGGGGAGGAGTTGATCAGCATCTCCACTTGATGTGCATGCTAATTATCAGTATTGGTGCTGAGAGGTTTGGCATCAAACAACCGAAGGCCAAGATCCTCATCAAGCCAAACCAGCCTGAGGCTGAGATCACCAAACTCAGGAAAGAACTGAAGTTCCTGAAACAGCAGTTTAGGAAGGCGAAAGAAGAGGAGAAACCTGCCCTGACTGAGCTCCGGAACAAATTGAGAAAGAAGGTCCTCTCCCTCCAACGAGCTGAGTGGCACAGGAGAAGGGGCAGAGAGAAGGCTCGCAAGCGGACTGCCTTTATAGCAATAGCATCCATTTGGTTTCACCAAACAGCTTCTGGAGCAAAAGCGCAGCGAAAGTCTTGTTTGCCCAGAAGAGGAAATCAATCAGCACCTCAGCAATGCATACAGCGACAGGAGAAGGGAGGAAGAGCTGCCGCCCTGCAGGGAGCTTAATAGACCACCAGAACCCTCCATCCAGTTTAACGCCAAAGAGCCCACTCTGGCAGAGGTGAGAGGAAACAATCAGAGCTGCACAGGCCAGTGCTGCTCGAGGGCCCAGTGGAGTGCCATACAGAGTGTACAAACACTGCCCAAGTCTCTTGGAGAGGCTGTGGAGACTTATCAGAGCAGTATGGCGGAGGGGGAAGGTACCCAAGCAGAAGAGACATGCTGACGGTGTCTGGATTCCGAACGAGAAGGATGCGAGTGACATCACGCAGTTCCGCACCATCTCCTTACTCAGTGTGGAAGAAAAACCTTTTTCAAGGTTCTTGCTAACAGGCTGACTTTTAGCTCCATTCTCTCCTTTTTCGGCTCTCCCTGTGACTGCTAAAAATCTTGCTTGCTAATTACCCTGACACTATGCGTTCAACGTCATTTGCTTGATGGTTGTATTTACAGGCAAGCAGGTGAACAAACCACTCACTCTCTGCTGCCACCCCATGGTCAGTGGTGAAAAGCAGTAAAGTAAAGCTACCAGAGAGAGACAGCGGGGCAATATCTGCTGTATTGAAGAGGAACGAACTGCGCATGTCAAAGTTATAACGAGAGTCAATGGGGAAAGATTTGTGCACCCCTGGCTGGATATACGTCAACTATTAGAACAGAATAGAATAAAACTTTATTGATTCCCCAAAGGGGAAATTCATATTGTCACAGCAGCAACAGATACCACAGGACACACAAGAGTTTTCATCAAAATAAATAGCTATGACAACAAATAAATAGTTATGGCAGTAAATAAGATAAAAACCTAAAAGTTAAAGAGCTCCACCATGCTAGGACCTGTGTGTGTGTGTGTGCTATATCTCATTCAGGCCTGTTAAACAGTAACTATAACAACACTGTTAATAACTGTAGGCAATGTAGGACATTTCTAAACTGACTTTTTTACTACAAGTTATACTTTCAATACCTCTCTTCAGACTATATTATTCAATTTTCTTTTCTAAAACACAGGATTTACATATAAGTCATTAAAAAAAATGTTTTATTAGAATGACGGGCTGTGTAGAAACATGTTGTGAGAGAGAGGGCCCTAGCGCCCTCTATGGACCAGCCGCCACTGGCACAATCCAAAGAGAATAAGTACAAATAGTCTGATTACAGGTTGGATGGACACTGCACAATGATCTTCTGTCAGTACTCAACACTAACACTAAACAGTCTTTGTCCCAGTAGCCTATCATGTTCAAAAGCCATGATCTCACACTGACAAAATAAATCCTTCAGTCTTAAAGTTCCCTAAGGTCAACAGCTTTCCAAATTGTTTATTAATTTACTGTCGAAATTAATATGTTTGAATTATAACCCTTTACTTGTAGAAATAGTGTAGAAATGTATAGTTTATATTCTAATCATTTGTTTAGCACTGTTAACCATTAGGTAGTTATACTTTCATTTAATAATCTGAATGTTAGTATATAGAATCATTGTTATGAAGTTCATTTACATGTGTTTACCCTTTTGTTATTCAAAGTTTCTATGTCTTACTATCTGTTTCATTTCAGTTATTTTAACATGATCAATGTTCTTTAAAAAGTGATACTCAAAGCATAATGACAATGTTTGTTAATGTGATTCCACAATTCTTTATATATGTGTTTGTATCAAAACATTTATTATGAACCAAGCATTAAATAACATTAATCATAGTGAGTAAGTTTTAGATTTGACTCCTTTACCAGCCATAAGTATAAGTTGGATCAAATAATCCGATATCCTGAAGGGATTCTCTAAAGACGCTGCAGCAGGACACCAGCAACCCCTCCTCTCTTCCCTCACACACACACACACACACACACACACCCCAGAGACACTCACAGTTTGAAGAACATAAAACCACTAAAGTTGGGGTGCCCTCTTTCTCTTATGCTCGTCACCTCTCACTCTCTTGACTTTTCACTTTCCTCTTTCTCTTACACTCTCAGTCTTTTTGTCTTACTCTTACGCTTGGTCTTACCTTTTCCTCATGCCCTTCTACTTTTGTCATTTTTCCTGCCAAGTTTTTCAAGTTTTACGCCACCTGTATATTAATGTTGTTTGATTTTCTTTAACACCATCTTAGTTCAAGTTTTGAAACTTCAACTATTTTTTTGTACACATAGCGTTTCAAGATTAAAGTCTTTAACTTATTTTTCTTTAATTTCACTGTCAATTTTCAAATAGTATTGACTGGCCATCAAGCTTCTTCTTCTTAGTTCTCAGAGTGATTTTTCAAGTCACCTCTGAATGCCACACAGCAGGCCCAAAGGCATCCTCTGTGCCAGAGTTTTGCAGTGAGACCAAAGGAGCATCCACAGGATACTAAAGGCACTGGTTCTGCATTTAGGCCTGCATGCTGTGACCCCTGGCCCATCTCTCAGCTGACTCTGGTCCTCTGCTGAGCCAAAACTCTCAAACTGCCAGTAAGCTAGACCTTCAGTGAACCCTCTCCATCCTCTCCAAGTACCAGCCTCACTTAAGTACAGGGCTGATGCTGTCTCATGCGTTCATAATTCAAATATTCACTTATTTGAGTGATCCCAAATTCATCCACATCCAAATTTATCTGGACACCAAAGTTAATTCAGGTTAATATGTTAGAGCATATTCACTCACTATCATTACCTTTAGTAGTTATAGCCTGACTCATTCATTCATCTATTTTTATTTGTCCTCATTATCTTATCATCATTTATTGTATGTATGTTGTACCATCATTCATTTTTCTAAGTTCAGGTCTGTTAGTGTTCTTTCAGAAGCAGAGTGAGAATTTTGGCTCAAGATATGAGATTGATTCAAGATTGATTTAAGATTGACTTAATGTTTAATTTCTGAATTAAACTTTTGCTTTTCTTTATTTTCCTGCCATTAAAGGTGGGTGGTACCCCTTTTAATAAGTGCATAAATATCTTAATTTAAAATTATGATCAATTATTAATCTTAGGACATTAATTATAAATTTAAATTGCTACATAAGTTTAGTCCTAGTTTACATTAATATAGTCAACATGTTGTAAGTACATAAGTCACAATCATGTTATCTTCTATTCTTCCAGTCTGAATATTCTGAGAATAGTCTTCATGGACCCAGAAAACAAATCCAAACCAGGGTTCTGGTTCTGTGTGTGTTTCCTCAGAGTTATAAAAGAATAATCATCGACGTTGACACAGCAGACAGACTCAAATCATCAGTAGACTAAACCTTCAGGCAAACGTTTCTTACCTCAATGGCCGAGTGCAGCGAGTACTTGTACCTCTTCTTAAACTCAGCTCGGATATCCAACAGGTCGATCTCAGAGCGACTCACCATGATCCTGTTCAGAGTCCACTCATCTGTTCCTCCACCCTGAATGAGTGGACACACACACACACACACACACACACACACACACACACACACACACACACACACACACACACACACACATGAATATATAACCTTTCCCTCTTGTGGTTTTAGTTTAAATCCTCTCTCTGGTCTGAGCTCAGTCTCAGGAGTTTCTCAGAGTCTGATCTACATCTGAAACAGATGGAGAGCCTCGGGTTGGGCTGGAAAAACTGAGGAGCAAATATTTACTGAGCTATTGAGTGTTTAGAGGATATAATCTGTCCACTCCACACCCCAGAGGAGTTTCATATCAGGCAAAGGAGGGTAAAAATTGGAGCCACCAACTGCAGAGCCTGTAAAATAACCCAAAATGTCCTGCTCAGGGAAGTTTAATTTAACCTTAAAATTCATACAGAAAAATCTCAGCAGATGAAACAGAGGTGATCAGCTGACAAACAGACTTCCTGTCATGTGACTCCTCAGAGGAAAGGTTCTTTATGTCTCTTTTCTTTCCTCCCTTTTTTCCATGCAGGTCTGGTAGGAGGGACTGAGATGGAAGGGAAGGGTCAGAGAGTCAAAATAAGTACCCCACAGAAAACGGAGGGAAACCAAATTATTAAAGTACTCAGATGCAGAGAGAGGTTTGAGTTGAACCAAGGTGAAGTACAGCTGCTTAGCAGAAAACAGGAGGAGGTAAACAGTGTTCTTCATTCTGCTGAAGGTCACAACATAGGTTGATGCCAATGAGATGATTTTATTCACACATGGTGTGAACACAACATCACAGTCAAATTTCTGCAGAACCTGTGTACAAATGAGTCAAAACAGAGAATTCACCTTCATGCTCTCATACAGACGCTCTGCTAGGTATGCCGGCACACTCTTCACACATTTCACTGCAAGACAAACAAGAAATAACAGACAACAGTGAGGTCACCACACTCTGTATACACTTGACTGCAGGGGATCATGAAGGTCAGGTTAAACAGCACACAGAGATGTTCATCTGCTTCTACCAAACAAACAGCAAAGTTTCTGAAAAGTTGAGGTGGGTTTATTTAATATGATGAAGCCAAATACACTTATCCCAGATATTAAAAGTTTGAAGAGTCTGTAGGTAAAAGTATGCAAGTAGATGTTTTATATTATTTGTCATACAATTCATTAAGCTGTAGGACTAACAGCAAATCCAAATTTGTCTGGGAGAAGAATAGGTAAAATTCACAGTATAATAATAGTGCTTCGTGGCTTCGCCCTATACTTCTGTATAGGGGCCAGTGCCTTAGTGCGTTTGCCCCATGGCCCTAATAACAGAAGTGACATTGGTCATCACAATAAACACAAAAATAACAACAGTAATGACAATAATAATGACATTAATGGCATAAATAATGACATTAAGAACAAAAATAATGCCATTAATAATAGCATTACTGACAATAATATTAGCAATAATGACATTAATAACGACAATATTGATTTAATAATGTCATTAATAATGACATTAATGACAATTTTAATGACAATAATGACATTAATAATGACAATAATGACATTATTAAGGTTATCAATAAGAATAAGTGTGTTGACCCACCGATTATGACATTCATAATGCCATGAATGACATTAATAATGACATTGATGACATAAATTATGACAATTATAATGATAATAATGTAAATTATAATGACAGTTATGGCATTAATAATGAGCAATAATGACATAATTAATGACATTAATGACATTAATTATGAAAATTCTAATGTCAGTAATGACATTATTAATGACTATTATGACAATAATAATTTAAGGATGTCATTGATGATGACATTAATGACAATTTTAATGACAATAATGACAAAAATTACATTAATACTGACAATTATGACATTGACAATGACATTTATGATGACAATAATGACATTTATAATGTTATCAATAAGAACAATGATAAGTGGGTTGACCCACCAATTATGACATTAATAATGACATAAATGACATTAATAATGACATTAATTACATAAATTATGATAATTACAATGATAATAATGACAGTAATGGAATAAATAATGAATAACAATGACATTATTAATTACATCAATGACAGTAATAATGATATTAATAACATTAATTATGAAAATTCTAATGTCAGTAATGACATTGATAATGACAGTAATGACATTAGTAATGACACTTATGACATTATTATGACAATAATGACATAAATAATGAAACTAAAGACATTAATGACATTAATAGTTACTATTATCACATTTATTATGACAAAATGATCTTAATAATGACAGAAATACAGGCAACAATGACATTTATAATGTTATCAATTAAAACATTAATAAGCACGTTAACCCACCGATGGCAACCAGTAGCTCCTTCAGTGTCCCTGACATTTCCCCCTCGATGCTCTTCTGAAGGGTTTTCCCACTGATAGTTTTATACTCAATAAGAGCTGAAACATACACCAAATGAAGGTTAAATATCTCTGCACTTTTAATGAAAGGAGACACATCATCTGAAATAAGTGTGTTAATAACTGTGACCTACTCTGTCTGAGCTGAGGTATACTCCTATGACAGAGGATGTTGATGAATTTACACTCGTCCGTGCCCCACTTCTTCTCTCCGGCATCATATAGAGCCTAAGTACCATCAGAATCTCATAAGTTGAAGTATACTCCACATGAAAACACTTGTGTGAAGAAAAGGGAAACAAGTTCAAACTGGCACAAAGTATCACCTTGGCATCTTCTTTAGCTCTCTCTGTATCCACTGTGGTGTTCTCATCTCTTTTACCCTGAAACACAAAATGAAAGTTCTTTTCCAATACATACTGATTCATTAATCCTGTAATCATCTTTGAATACTGACTGCCGGCTCCATGAATAGACACTACTCCTCTGCAGAATAGTGTCCATCATTACTGACAACATGTTAATTCCCTTGATCATATACCTTGATCATGATTTTTTTTTTTTGCTTTTAACGTGTAGCCCTTTGGGGTCTCTGGATTTAAAGGGCACTACAAATAAAATGTATTATTATCTATTATTATCAGGTTCAGTTATTATGCAGATTGTTGTGAACAAAAAGATCTATACCAGCAGATCTGAGAGTTTTCAACTCCTTTACAAATGTATTTAAAGGGGACCTGCCATCAAAAATGTAATTTTGTGTGTTTTTGTGTCAGATAAGGTCCATATTATGTTCGTCTTATGTTGTAAATGTGAAAACAAACCGTTACGTCGTTTGCATTCTGTAAAGGTTTTAAAAAAGAAACGGGTAAACCAGGCCAATTGAAAAAGCAGGTCCTTCTGACGTCGCGCTGACCTTGCTCATTATTATTTACGAGCGCATCCCCGGTGAGCCGCGCCCACTCTCTCGTTCTCGTACCCAGTCACAGTCAACATCACTCTCCAGCCAGAGCGAGACCCAGCTACCACTGTAACCGCTATGGGTCTCTTCCAAACGACCGGTGTTTCCTTGGGTTCACTGCCGGGAAAATTAACTTAAAGCTGGGCAGAATGAATGAAAACACCGCTGGAGATCTCCGGCTTCTTCTTCAACTTCCACCTCCTCTTCGTACTCGGGGTCTAAAATATATGGTTTAATACCTGCCATTTTTAGCCTTTAGCATGAGGTGACCAGACGTCCCCGATTTCCGGGGACAGTCCCCGAATTGGATGACCTGTCCCTGGCAAAAGCTGTCCCCGAAAATGTCCCCAATTTAAGCGTTTCATGAATGAGAGCAAAAATGTTGCGTGTGGGCTCGAACAACGGTTATTACAGTAGCCGAATGGGTAGGAAGCACAAGTAAGCAGTCCTGGGCAATAGTTCTTACGGGGGTTATTACAAGGGACATGCACTGCTACTAAATAGTACCGAGATTTGTCTGTGATCACACAGCCCCTGCAGCCCCTGCACCCTCCCCGCCACCGCCACCGCCGCACCGCTCCACCGAATATCCCCGGATATCATTACAGACATCTGGGCACCTTACTTTAGCACACATTAGCAAGATGGATAAACCGAAATCCGAACCTTCACTGCTGAGCCAATTAGAGCACAGCAGGCTTCACAGCAGCGATCCAATCAGAGCAAAGCTCATTACCATACATGTTAATGAGCCAAAGTCAGTTAGTTATCCTGTCAGGTTTTTTAGGCATACTAAAATGGTTTGAAACAAACCATCAAATAACTTTTCAGCTAAAATTATGTTGCAAACATAATCAGAGGACATCAAGGGTTATGAAAAAATTATAAAAATGGGTATGAAATTTTGATGGCAGGTCCCCTTTAATTAAAAATCATTTTACAAAAAATTGAAACAGATGTTATTGATTCAAGACAAAAATACCTAACAAGATCAAATTTGAGCAGCAAGTGTTTAAAGGAACACCAAAACAGGTAAAAAGTTCTTAGAGGAACAACCATACAAGTAAAAAGTTTTTATAGTAGCAACCAAACAATTAAAGAGTTCTCTTTGAGGAACAACCAAACAGGTAAATAGTTCTTATAGAGGAGCAACCAAACAGGTAAAAAGTTCTTTGAGGAACATCTGAACAGGTGTAAAGTTCTTAGAGAAACAACCACACAGATGTAAAGTTCTAAGAGGAACAACCAAACAGGTCAAAAGTTGTTGGAGGAACAATTTCTCCACTATCTCAGCATGTATGATTGATGTTTGTCCATGTTTATAGCAGATAGGTTTGTTTTACTCTGCACAGATTGACTGCTAACTCCTACATAAAGACAAACCTCAGCTAGGAGGAGCAGAGCATCAGCAAACTCTCCAGAAACTTCTGACTTCAGATCCAGGGTCACCTTCTTCTCTGTCTCTATGCAGTACAGTATTTTCAGCAGTTAGTTCTTGTGTTATGCTTATAATGTTTTTCTTTTCTTATTCAATAAACTTTCAAACTGTTTGTCTTGATAATCTACCTGTCAGGTAGACCTCATTCAGAGCTCTGATCTGTTCAGCTGACCTGGAGGCAAAGATCTCAATCAAGACGCTGTCTGTGGTTCCTGCCCCCTAGAAGACACAAAAAAAGACATCAGAATAATCAGACTCATAAAAAAGGGTATAAATAAAGTATTGACCTTGTTTATACCCAGGGGGGAATTTGGTCATTACAGCATTACACTTGCTCTTGAAAGTACAAATATTAACAGAAGGGGATGAAGGATGTATGGACCAAAATAACAACAGAGATGGCCCTCTGAGTCTGATCCAGGGATTCAGAGGCTGGCCCTCTGAGCCCACTGGACACCCGGACTCAAACTGGGTCATAAAAGTAACCTTTTCGAAGGAAGTTCTCTTTTCATATTGTTTAAGGTTGTTTAATGTTAACTGTCGAAATAAGACATTCAATACTATTTGTTGTCCTAGTCGCAAAATGAGTATCTATGAGATGAGGAGATGGAAAAGACAAAAGGTAATTCATGTGCGATTGGAATTTATGATAAATGTCTTAAGATTAATAATCTTAAATTATGACATTTATGCACTCGTTGAAAGGGGCACCACTCACCCTTAATGGTGGGAAAAATAAAGAAAAACAAAAGTTTAATTCAGAAATCAAACATTGAGTCAGTCTTAAATTAATCAATCTCATATCTCAAGCCGAAATTCTCATTTCAGGGACTCCACTTCTGGAATAACACTAACAGACAAGAACTTAGAAAAATAATGATCTGTTTATTACAGGATAAATGATGGTACAACATACATGCAATAAATTACAAGATAATGAGGATAAATATTGATAGGTGTATAATAAAAGGTTCTGAGTCAGGCTAGGAGCACTAAAGTTAATGATAGTGAGTGAATATACTCTAACATATTAACCTCTATAAACTTTAGTGTCAAGCTAAATTTGGATGTGGATTTGGATGAAACTAGGATTACCAGAATAAGTGAATATCTATGTTATGGCCACATGAGACAGCATCAGCCCTGTTTGGAGCGCTGGAGGTTTGAACACTTAAGTGAGACTGGTCCTTGGAGAAGATGGAGCAGGTTCCGAAGGTCCGGGGCTACCTGTGGTTCGAGCGGTTCCGCTCAGAAGACGGCTGAAGTCAGCCGAAGTCACAGTGAAGTTTTTAATGCACCACATGAACAACACACAAGAGGAGAGTCATGTGTGGCCCAAGGGCGTCCCACCACGGCGGGCATGGGTGCTGGTCGGCCTGCTTCTTGGTGGTGCAGGGGGCCGGGCCCGCCTCTGGTCCGGACTATAGTGTTGTACATTGTAGTGGCTTTTGTTGTTTTGTATCCTTATTATTATTACTGTTATTATTGTTGTCGTCAGCGTTGTCATTCTTTTATGGTCATAATTATTGCCGGTATTACTATTGTTGTTATTATTGATGCTGTTGTGGTTGTTGTATCATCGCTGTTGTGTCGGTGATTCGGGGGGATTGTGTGTGTTTGTGTGTGTGTGTGTGTGTGTGTATGTATGTATATGTATGTATATATGTATATGTGTGTATGTATGTGTGTATATATGTATGTATGTATGTATATAATATATATATATATATATATATATATATATATATATATATATATATATATATATAGTTATTATTACATATATATTTCAATGTAATCCAATTCAGATTTTTTTTTAATATTCTATATTATATGTATTCTTTCCCCCTCCCCTCCCTCACAAAAGTATTTTTGTTAATTTTTTATTTTTATTTTTTGTTGTTCTTGTCATTTTTGTTGTTGTTGTCACTCTGTTTTGTTGTTAAATTAAAAAAAAAAAAAAAAGTCAGCTGAAGGATGGGTCAGGAGTTGCAGCACTCAGGCCCGAAGCAAAAACCGGTGCCTGTGGATACTTCTTTGGTCTCACTCAAAAACTCTGGCACAGAGGATGACTTTGGGCCTGCTGGGTGGCATTCAGAGGTGACTTTGAAATCACGCAGATAACCCCGATAAAGAGGCTTGATGGCCAGTCGAAACTATTTCAAAAATGGCTTTGGGAAATTAAAGAAAAAACAGTTTAAGTCTTAATCTTGAATTGCTATGCATACAAAAAGTTGAAGTTTCAAAAACTTGAACTAAGACGATGTTAAAGAACAATCAACGTGAATGAACACGTGGCGTAAAATACTTTTGGCTGGTAAAAGAGTCAGATCTGATACTCACTATGATTAATATCACTGAATGTTTGGTTTCATGACAAATGATTTGATACTAAACACATATGAGTGAAATGTAGAATCACATCAAACATTTTCATCATGTTTTAAGTATCACATTGAACATGCTAAATTACTCTGAAATGAAACAGACAGTAACGCATAGAAACTGTGACCAACAAAAGGGTAAATACATGTGAATGACCTTCATCATGAGTAATAATGGATTCTATATGCTAACATATAGATTTTTCAATGACATTATAACCACCTAATGGTTAAAAAACACTAAATAAACGATTAAAACGTAAACCAAACATTTTTAAATTATTTCAGTTACTTAGAGTAATATGTGCTCCAGAAGCCAAGTTATCACTCTGACTTTTGTTCTTTAGTTTCTTTAGACCAACAGCTTTTTAGACTACTTCATGAACTTTTAAGAGTTATGATTCATAATCAATAAATCTAACTCTTAAAGGTTCATGAAGTAGTCTAAAAAGCTGTTGGTCTAAAGAAACTAAAGAACAAAAGTCAGAGTGATAACTTGGCTTCTGGAGCACATATAAAATCGTGAAACATCTCATTTTAACACAAATTTCATGATTAGACCGATTAGTACATTGCTGAATGCATAAGATGTCATGATCAGTCATTTGTATTCTTTCTCGAAAGGAATGCAGTTTTTATCAGTACATGGTCGAGCAGGGTTTTACGACCAAGGTCTGGAGGTCAGTGTCCTGCTCCTCAGACCTTTCCTTGGGGTCCGTATGTTCACACACTTTAAGACGGTAAATCTCAAATGGGAGACCTGGATTAAGGCATGAATAATTATTTAGATGGTCAGTGATGGAGTCAGTTTGAAACGTAATAAAAACTCTGTCTCTGTTCTCCGAATTGACCAACCGTGAAGAGCCAGAGGTTTTGATCAACCTCTGGTTGGGTCAGTTAGGTAACCTGAAAGTGCAAACAAGTCTGGAAAGATTTATATTATCCTATGTCCTGGGACCAGATAAGGAACCTTTCCTGCGAGGAATGTGTGGGTTTCACCCACAGAGTAGTCTCGGCTGCTATACATTCATATACTTTAAATGACAGCCAAGATCGCCTCCTTTAATATTAAAAGAATACTCAATCCAACAGAGATATCTAAGATTTTATCAAAGATGAGAAAGGACAAGGTGGAAGTTGTATTTTTACGAGACTCACCTAACACAGCGTGAACACGAAAGCTTAAAAGATGTGGGTTTATTCAAGTCCTCTCTTTTTTACAAAAAGGGACATAGAAGAGGGGTGGCTATACTTATATCAGGAAAACTTTATTTTGAGAAAACATGAGAAGTTATAGATACTAAGGGCAGATATATACCAATAAGAGGGAGGTTAGGGGAAGGAATGGTCACTCTTCTTAACATTTATGCACCCCCGGGTTCAAAGCGGACATTTTGTAGACAGATGTTTGACTTAGTGACCTCAGAGATAGAGGATGATCTGACAGGGGAGGAGATTTAAATCTAAGACTAAATCCATATCTGGACACGTCTTCAAGAGGGCAACAGAAAAATACCATAAGTGAAAAAAATGTAATACTGTCAGAATTGGGCATTATAGATGTTTGGAAAGATCTTAACCCACATGTAAAGATTTTATCTTCTATTCAGCGTCACATTCAACTCATACGAGGATTGATTACTTTTTGATGTATGATAAAGACAAATACAGGGTAAAGAATTGTTAAATAGGTATAAGAGATTTATCAGATCACTGTCTTGTATACATAACTTTAAATTTGACAAATGAGAAGAAAACAACACTTTGGAGATTAAATTCAAATATTCTCAAAGGATGCATGAAAGAGGAAAGAGGAAAATAAGAAATAAAAGAAATTCAGACATATGTGGAGATAACAATAATGGTGAGGTGTCTCCATCAGTCCTGTGGGATGCTTGCAAGGTGGTGTTGAGCAGAAAATTATTACAAGAACTGCATATTTAAATAAGATGAAACAGGAGAAACTTAAGGATCTATATTCTGAGTTAAAAGGATTGGAAAGAAAACATAAGGAAAGTATGGAGGAGAGCTTACACCGAGACGTTTGTAGGATGAGTGGGGGGGATAAATTAGATCCAGGGACAAGAAATCCAAAATGGGTCTTGGACCGACAGACGCAATATAGACATGATCTCCACGTCTATCAGACTTCTAATGTTTAGTGGGGCTATCTCAGTAATTCCAAAGGATGAAAAAGATAAATTGGAATGTTCAAACTACAGACCTATAAGCGCCGGATCTACTACAGGTTTGTGCACTCTAAAAACCCCTGGGTTAAAAACAACCCAAGTTGGGTTGTATTTCACCCAACACCAGGGTTGAAAAGGGACCGACTACTTATTGGGTTAATTTGAATAACCCAAAATGTTGGGTTATTCAACTTAACCCAAATTTTGGGTTGACTCAATAACTCTTTTTAAGGGTCAAGTTAACCCAGTCTTTGAGTTAATTTGACTCATCATCTTGGGTTAAATTGATATATGCATTTGGGGAGCTTTTTTTGGAAGCTTTGCTTTTACAACCTGTACCCTATTTTCCCATGTACTTTTATGCCAGTTCTTAATACGTAAAACTAAATTAAACCTACCCCACCCCTTCATTGATTTTTTTTCTCCCTTTTTTTTTTTTTACAATTTAGTGTTCCTCATTGCAGTCTTCAAGAACCTTATCTGTTTGCGCTCTGTTCATGTAACCCTGCTGGTTAGGTTTACTGGAGTAGTAGCATCCCAACAGAGCCTCATTCTCATCTCGTGTCCAGAAGTCCATTGCCTTCTCTTTGTTGTTCCAGTAGCCCATTTCTCATCACAATGCCCTAGTTCCTCAGCATGTGATGCAGACCTTGTTAACCCAGGCGACATCTGAGCTGGTTTGGCTTTCAATGGTAACGCACTCATGTTTATGAGGTAGGCCATAGTGCTAAGGGTCTTGCCCATAGACTGTATATACTATGGACAACTTAGTTTCGCCTCCCACCTATATACGGATTTGAAGCCAAAAAGCTCTCTGTATTTCCGCGATTTTTCTTTATTTCCTGAAACCAGCACTGCACAGTAGCGTTGTGCGCATTCGGCAGGAGAGTCGCCAACAGTCGCTGTGATGACGCTTGCCTCAAACAGCATGTCCCCCAGGTGAGCTACACAATCCCTGAACGCCAATAGGCTGTGTCAGGTGTCAATCAAAGAAAACATGAACCCCCCCAATAACTTTTAAAAACGGAGCTTCACAGAAAAAAGAGGACTTTAGCATACACAATTTAAGTACTGGATGAATGAATGAATAAGGAGATGAACAACAGATGATGAGGTTTAAGGATGGTCTTGGTTAAGTAACTGTACATGAATGTTGAATATTAAATAGTTTAAGGTGTGAGTCCAGTTTTATTACAGTTCGTTGTAAAGTCTTATTGCAGAAGGGAGGAATGACCTGCGGTAGCGCTCCATCTTGCAAGGTGGAAGTCTCAGTCTGCTGCTGAAGGAGCTGCTTAAAGCCCCCACAGTCTGGTGCAGTGGGTGAGAGGGATTGTCCATGATGGATACAAGCTTTGCTAACATCCTCCTCTCACCCACCTCCTCCAGGGAGTCCAAAGAGCAGTCCAGGACAAAACTGGCCCTCCTGACCAGTCTGTTCAGTCTCTTCCTGTCCCTCTCGGTGCTCCCTGCCCCCCAGCAGACCACTGCATAAAAAAGTGCAGATGCTACCACAGAGTCATAGAAAGTCCTGAGCAGAGTCCTGCACACTCCAAAGGACCTCAGTCTCCACAGCAGGTGGAGACAACTTTGGCCCTTCTTGTACAGGACGTCTGTGTTGGTTGACCAGTCCAGTTTATTGTTGAGGTGGACACCCAGGAATCTGTAGGACTCCACCATCTTGATGTCCAGACCCTGAATGTTCACTGGAACAGTCTGAGGTGTCCTCCTCCTGCTGAAATCCACAGCTATCTCCTTTGTCTTACTGGTGTTGAGCTGGAGGTGGTTTGTACCACACCAGTTGACAAAGTCAGTGATGACAGTCCTGTATTCCCGCCCATCCCCTGACGATACACATCAGACGATGGCTGTATCATCAGAGAACTTCTGGAGGTGACAGCTCCCAGAGTTGTAGCTGAAGTCCGAGGTGTACAGGGTGAAGAGGAAGGAAGAGAGCACTGTCCCCTGTGGAGCCCCTGTGCTGCAGACCACCATGTCCGACACACAGTTCTGAAGTCTCACAAACTGTGGTCTGTCGGTGAGGTAGTCCACGGTCCATGCAGCTAGGTGACAGTCCACTCCTGCCCTCTCGAGCTTCCCCCTAAGCAGTGAAGGATGGATGGTGTAGAAAGCACTAAAGAAGTCAAAAAACATGACCCTCACAGTGCTGCCGGTGTTCTCCAAGTGAGCCATGGACCTCTGCAGCAGGTAGATGACTGCGTAATCCACCCCAATGTTTGGCTGGTACGCAAACTGCAGAGGATCCAGATGAGAGCTCACCAGGAGGTGGAGGTTCTTCAGCACAATCCTCTCCAGAGTCTTCATCAGGTGAGAAGTGAGAGCCACAGGTCTGAAGTGGTTGGGCTCCCTGGGGTGTGCTGTCTTGGGTACAGGAATCATGCAGGAAGTCTTCCACAGTGCTGGGACCCTCTCCAGACTCAGGCTCAAGCTGAAGATGTGCAGTAGCACCTCACAGAGCTGGTCTGCACAGTCCTTCAGGAGTCTGGAGCTGATGCCGTCAGGACCCGTGGCCTTCCTTGGCTTCATCTTCCTCAGCTCACTTCTCCTCTGGTCAGCTGTTATGGAGAGGCTGGGGGTGGTGCTGGAGGGGGGGTGATGATGCCGGTGCCATAGAACTGAGGTGGTATGAAGAAGAAGCAGTTGGGTCGTTTGGTTGGATGAGTCGGGGGAGGAGTGGGAGCAGAGTCAAATCTATTGAAGAACAAATTCAGCTCGTTGGCCCACTCCCTGTCTCCTGCTTCAGGTCCCCTCTCATGGCCCCTGCGGTGACCTGAGATGGATTTCAGGCCTCTCTAGACCTTGCTCGCGTTGTTCTGTTGCAGAAGGTTTTCCATCTTGGTCTTGTAGCTGGCCTTCCCCTCTCTGATCTCACCAGGTTGTGATCTGAGCAGCCCAGCGGGGGGAGAGGGGAGGAGGTGTATGCATCCTTGGTGTTTGCATACAGTAAGTCAGAAGTTTTATTGTCTCTTGTTGGGCATTCAGTCAGCAGCTCAATGTCCATAGAGCAGCGCTGCTCTTTAACACTAACGTGCCCAGCATTACATCATCTCTCATATACATACACCGCTATCCTGCCTCCTTTCTTCTTACCACTCTCCGTCACACTCCGGTCCGCTCTGACAAGATGAAATCCGTCCAAAGTTACGAGCGGGTCCGGAGTGAGTTCCTTAAGCCATGACTCCGTGAACATCATGAGGCTGCACTCCCGGTATTCCCACTGCAGCCGAGTCAGCGCTGTGAGCTCTTCCATCTTGTTGGGGAGAGACCTCACGTTTCCTATAATGATGGACAGGACAGTTGGCTTATCACGTCTCCGCTTTGCCTGATGCTGAACTCTGGCTCTGCATCCTCTCCCTCTCCTGCGGAGCTTGGCGGAGATATCCAGTCTCTCAAATGAAGGTGGCCGGGCTTGGGGCAGCGTCAACAGCTGTTTACGGCTGTAAACAATAGAGCCGCTGAACGGGTCACCAGACATGGACTTAAAAACTCCAAAAAGTAAAAGAAAACAAAGTGCTAGAGTGCACATCCATGATTGGAATATGCAAAACACAACACTGCTTATTAAAAAGAAAGACAAATAAGGTTCAAAATACAACAACAAAAAAGGCAAAAACGTGAACACTGTGTAGAGCTGCTGTGACTCGCTGCCACTCTCAGGGCGCTCAGTCACTAAGACTGAATCCATTTGACCCAAGAAATGGGTATGGATCTGAAAAATAACTCAGAAATTTAACTCAACACATATAACCCAGGAATTAGGTTGAAGAAAAAAACCCAAGAGTTTTTAGAGTGTGAGTACAAAAACACGTGCAAACTTGATAGTGTGCGCAAAGCTGATCTACTAACCATGTGCACCGAGGATTGTCAAATGAGCAAAATAGCATGCACAATCAGTTTAATGTGTTTGCCTTCATTAATATGCAGAACGTGTGTAGATCAACAGAATGCGCAAAATACTGGGAGGAGTAGAAGCGAATGGCATCATTTAGCATCTGCAATGTCTTTTATCACACCCGGAAACTGATTGTGATCACTGTTTTGCATCTATATTTAGCATGTTTAAAGGCACATGCAAACTGGCACAGTGTTACGCGCAAATGGCTACGGTCATTGTGGGGAGCAGGAAGCAAAAGTGTAGTGATAGACGACGGAGAAAGAGAGTCTTCCGTGCGAGTGTCAACATATTTGGACTGTTAGAAAGAAAAATATTAGAGTAACAGTATTGCCATATTTGAACTGCTGGGTGACCAAGGGCTGATTTGAAGTCAGTCACAAAAATGATCCACGCCATATGTCCTATGGAAAAATTCCTTGCAACATTGCATTCCGGCATCTGGATCATTCCAGCATCTAGATCATTCCAGCGTTTCATCGCAGTTAGTGGTCTCCCAGAGTAGTTTTTCTGGTGTTCTGTCCCAAGTGTTGGACCAAGTGCTTGGGAGCTCCGGGGCTAAAAGCTTGTGATTTATTTTGTTTTTCAAGTAAATTACAGTTTTGATAAATAATTAGGTAAAACCCGGAACAGTCGCTAAAATGTATGTCTTTGTCTCATTAATTGAATTTTTTTATTTCATTTTAAATATATTTTCTTGCATCAGTAAAACACTTTGAATTGCCTTGTGTATAAATTGTGATATACAAATAAACTTGCCTTGCCATTTATGCAGTTGCTGGCCTCCCCAAAACAATAGGTGCAACCCAGGCTTCAAACATAATTATTCATCCACAACCACTCAGCTTTCACAAACTCTCCATGGTCACCCACAACAGATCACCCACAACATGCCCATGAATAGCACGTGTAATTTTTTAGGTTGCACATGCAATTTAGCAGCCCTTATTTGGAAATCATATTAAATCAGACCCGAAGTGCGCTAAATCAGACTATTCACTGCTATTACGGCCAGACACATGGACAAAAATTCTCCCAGAAATAATGTATTTAGATCAAACAGGATTATAAAACACAGCTAAACCCAAGACAATATAAGATGTTGCATATAATGCAACATATACTTGACAAACATGGAGAACGAAAAGAGACAGAATGAAACATTTAATTACATCCTTAAAAAAATACTTAAATGTGTCATTAATTAATTAAAATGGGAATTTAATACAAAAATGTGTCATTAATTTATTAAAATACCAGTTCATTCAATGTAAAAACATATATCATCGTCCTTATGAAACCTGCTCTATTTCGGCGAGTGTCTGTCTTCTTCTGTAGTCAAACCGCAAGATATCAAAATCTACACAGATACAGCAATGGCGCTTTTTGGTCACTTGACTAGTATGAACAGTCTTTATAAATCACTCAACAAGACAGTGCCCCAAGTTGCTTGAGTATAGTGGGTTGGATGGTGTTGAATGCACTTGAAAAGTCGAAGAACATGATCCTCACATAAACCCCAGGTTCCTCCAGATGAGACAGGGCACGGTGAAGCATGTAGAGGACAGCATCGTCCACTCCAATGTGTTCTTTGTATGCAAACTGCAGGGAGTCCAGTTTTTCTTTGACCTCAGACCTCAGAAGGCGCAGAATCAGCCGCTCCAGGGTTTTCATGATGTGGGAAGTGAGGGCCACTGGTCTGTAGTCATTGAGTTCAGCAGGACATTTTGTTTTTGGTACTGGCACAATGCAGGATGTTTTCCACAGAGCAGGTACCTGACCCAGCTGTAGACTCAGGTTGAAGATCTTGTGGAGAGGTTGACACAGTTCTGCAGCACAGTCTCTAAGCAGCCTTGGACACACACCATCTGGACCAGCTGCCTTTCCAGGACAAAGTCTTCCAAGCTCCATCCTCACCTCTGTTTCGGTGACAGACAAGGACTGTTGATCTAGGAGGGAGGCAGTTGAAGTGGATGAGACATTTGAACGAGATGGAGGAGGAAGGGGAGAAGTTGTAGTGGAGATTTGTTGCGGAGAGGAAGGTGGAGTAGCAGTGGAAGTGGGAGTGACAGCAGTGTCAAATCTGTTGAAGAACAGGTTGAGTTCATCCGCTCTTTTCACATCACCCACTACTGGCTGTCTTTTCTTTTGACTGCTGTGTCCAGAGATGGTACTGATTCCTCTCCACACTTCACGGATGTTGCTGTGTTGTAGATGATTCTCTATCTTCTTTTTGTACTCCAGCTTTGCCATCGACCAGAGAGCAAACTGCGCGCTGCTGCGCTGATACGTGTGCTCCACCCCGACAGCTTGCCATGAGCTAACGAGCAGCTAGCACTGTCTTTTCATTTTGCCACCAAAATTTCAACCTTTAAACAAACACAGAGCCGGGGGGATATCGTTTGAGTTTCTGGGATTAAATAAACACATCGGCCACGGCTGGAACGCCGCAAGAGAGACTTACCTGAGATTTCCACCAACAGCGGGCCCTCTTCCGGGGCCCTCGCCGGTAAGTCTCCTCCCGTGTTGTCTGATCCTCTACCTTAGGGACGGAGCCCTGGCGTGTAAGTGTCATTCTCGGCACAGTCGAATCCCTGATCCACACTGTCCTCTGTCAGATCCTGCCTTGTGTCGTTGGCTGCCTGCTGGCTGTTGCTCTTTCTGTTTCAGCCATGGCTCCATGCTCCTCTCCATCCGGCTGTGCCAGCTGCGCCTGTCTGGCAGAAAAGATCCAGGAGCTGGAGAGAAGGATCTCCACCCTCTACCAGATCCAGGAAGCTTAGAAAATCATGGACACCATTATCTTCAGAACACCACATCCCGACTTCACCGGCTCATCGGATCCAGACCCCACCACTCCCAACACCTCTCCTCCGGCTGCTGCGACCACCTCTCCTCTGCCTGCTCATACATCCCTCTCCCCCGTCGTCTCCTCGACAAGGCTGGGAGCAAAACCCAAGGCTAAACCAGAGCCTCCAGCTAGCTCCACTCCATCCCTGCAGGAGCACTGGTCCCACATCACCGCCCGCACCGGGAAAACAAGGCTCCCACCTCAGGCCCCCCTCTTCCACCTCCACCTGGAAAACAGATTCGACACCCTGGACCTCAATGACTTCCCCCCCGCTGCCCGCGGGATCCCAGCCGATGTCCACCCGGCTGTATCACGGGTCCTTCAGCTCTCTGCTTTCCCCATCCCGTCCGCCCCCCCGTGCCCGACCATCTGCATGCCGGGTCTCTCCGGCAGCGCTCGATGCCGTGCTTCACACCTGCACCGCGGCTGGCCCGTGTCCCTCCCATCTCCACTCCGATGTCGTCCTTGGCGAGTTCCCCCCCTCTTATGACATATTCCTCTCCGGTCACGCACTCTCCACGTCCACTTTTCCCTCCGACGACTTTAATTGTGGGCGACTCCACCGTGAGAATCATCCACTTTTTTAACGCCGTCACGCAGTGTTTCCCTGGTGCGAGGATCCTTGACATTCTAACACTCCTCCCCACTCTGTTAAAATCTCTCCCATCTTTCTTCCAGAGAATCATAATCTATGTCGGTACAAATGACATGTCCCTCCACCAGACCGAGCTCACGAAAGACCATTTTACCCAACTTTTTAACTTCCTGAAAAACTGTGAACTGTCTGTTTTTATCAGCGGTCCCAATCCCACTTCTGGTCGTGGGTGCGGGCGCTTCAGCAGAGTGCTCAGCTTGCACACCTGGCTCCAATCTACCTGCCAAGCCCATAGCTTTGCCTTCGTGGACCATTTTAATCTTTTTTGGAACCGTTCGTCCTTTTTTAAACTGGATGGTATCCACCCGAACACCACAGATAGCTGCATATTAGCGGCTAACCTGCAGCACACCATACACTGTTCACCATGTGACTGACTATTTACTTCCCCCCCACACACACCCCCCTCTCCCTCTGTGGTGCACCCACTGTTGACAGGTCCTCCCCAGAGCTCCCCCTGCTGGCCAATTCTGTCACCGACTCCCTCTGCCACAGATCTTCCCGTCATCTTTTCCCCACTCCCAAATAATCACAGTAGCATCCAACTCCTCCCTATTCCTGTCCATATCACCAAGAGACACCACTCTAATAGAAACACCACCCGGACTGTCAATCACTCTGTTTTAGCAAGCCCATCCATGCTGGCTCCCATCTTCACCAAACATGACAATACCTCTGTCAGCTTCGGACTTCTCAACATCTGCTCACTCACCAACAGGGGACACATCATCCACGATCTCCTCACTGACCGCAAGCTGGACTTCCTCTGCATCACTGAAACATGGCAACAACCAAATGACTTCTCATCACTCAAGGACTCCACCTCCCCGGCCGTGGTGGAGGTATCGCTGTCATCCACCACAAGAAGTGGAAGGTTCTATCGCTGTCCCTGCCTCTCTTCTCCTCATTCGAACTTCTGGCACTTACACTCCCTGGACCCACTCCCACCATCATCGCCACCATCTACTGCCCCCCCCCCCCAAGCCCCACACTGACTTCTTAAATGACTTCTCAGTTCTACTCACCCATCTATGCACACTCTCACCAAACACAATAATACTGGGGGACTTCAATATCCACATTGACAACACCAACCTGCCCCTCACCAGAGACTTCTCATCATGCCTGGACAGTTTTGGACTCCATCAATTCATCAACTTCCCGACACACACTAAAGGACACACTCTGGATCTACTCTGCCGCTCTGGCCTCATCCCATCCAACTGCACAGCCGATGATCTCCATGTAAGTGACCACCTCCTCATCTCCTTCAGTATTCCTCTCTGCCTCTCTAGAATTAACACACCACGCCTCATTTCATTCCGCAATCTTAAGAACATAAACATTGACACTCTGTGCTCTAACATCAACAATAGTTTGATCCCGGACTGTTCCGCTACCCTGATGAAATAACATCCCATTACAACACCTGTTTAAATAACATCCTCAACTCCCTCGCTCCAGTCAAAACACGCTCTGTTTCCTTCTCCACAACTGCTCCCTGGTACACCCCCCATCTCCGCTCTATGAAAACCAAAGGCCGCCAACTGGAAAGACTCTACAAGAAAACTGGACTCTCCATTCACAAAAGAATGTACACTAACCACATCCACTGCTACAAGGACTCAATTTCTCAAGCCAAGACAGACCACTACTCCGCCCAGATCATCTCCAACAAAGGAAACACCAGATCACTATTCACTCTCCTCAACAAGTCTCTCCACCCCCCCCCCCCCTGTCTACCTGTCTTCAACCGACACCTGCAACACCCTAATGCAGTTTTTTAATGACAAAGTCTCCAACATCCACCAACAACTGCACTCAGGCTCTCTCCCCCCTGGACCCCCTCCGACCCCACCAACTCCCCTGCCACACCGTCAGTACTTCTCCAGTTTTCTTCTTCCCATCGACTCTGAAATCTATGATCTCATCCGGAAAACCCTCAACCTGTCAGCTGGATCCCCTTCCCACCACACTGGTCAAATCATGCCTCCCATCTGTGCTTCCTCTCATATCTGCCATCATTCACTCCTCACTCACCACTGGAACTGTTCCCGCATCCCTCAAGACAGCAGCCATCACCCCTATCCTGAAAAAACCTGGCTCTGACCCCAATAACTTCAACAACCTCCGCCCCATCTCCAATCTACCGTTCACAGCCAAAATACTGGAAAAGGTCGTCGCCAGCCAACTACACACCCACCCAATGTTCCCTCTAATTTTCCTGAGCACACTGAAGATCATTGTGAGCACCATCAAATGCGCACGCTGTGACCACACACCAGTAGCACACCTGTACAATAACTGGAATCATGACACTTACGTGGTTTATTAAAATAATCAGATTACAGCAGCAATTTCAATTTATTTACTTTTAATAAAAGTGATTTGGCCCACTTAAAATGAAAAAGACAAAAATTTTGTACATGAAATGTGCAGTATTTTATATGTGAGAGTCCTGTTTTTGCCATGAGAAGAGTCCTGTTTTTGCCATGAGAATGCCGAAGGAATCGGGAGAAAGTGAAAGTAAACAATAAAAGGTGGATGGTGGCATGCGGGGGGGGGGGGTCCGACATGGCTCGCGCAAGGAAATAAAACAGGTGCCGAAACTATCTGCAGTGCACTATTGCGGCGCTCCTTCTGGTCACCGACCGACACATCACTAGCTTCCATTCAGCGCAGCCTTTAGTTCCCACCGGCCGCGTATTTCTCCGCAGCGCTTCTGCTCCTCCAACTGTTGTTTCAGAGCTATCATGGATATGCCGCTATGTTTTCCTGACTGTATCAAACATGTTTGTCCACTTCTTTTATGTATCCGTGAATGAAAGTCGTCTACAGGGCTATACACACACAGACAGACACACACACACCCGCACACACAGGGACACGGACCAGCGCTGACAACTGCTTGTGTAGATTTACTGTTGTCCATATGTTTTCGCTATCTGTGTGTAGCTGAGTAAATATTTCGAAATAAATAAAACTTTGATAAAAAAAAACATTTTAATTTACTTTCTAGGTGACAATGTCACCAGGTGGACACCCGCGGCTTATTTACTGGTGCGGCTTATACGTGTACAAAGTTATTTTTTCCCTAAAATAAGCATCTGCGGCTTATGTAACGGTGCGCTCTATAGTCTGGAATTTACGGTATGTAAGCAATGTCAATGCGATGATTGGCTACGTAGCGTAAGTGAACCGTATCACATCATTGGCTGGACATCTATCACTCACTGTGTTAGACATGCGCTGTATAGCTTTTCTTGTGCGCTGATAATGTGTGAGCAGTGCGCGATTGCGCAGGCGCGCAGCTTAGAGGGAACATTGCACCCACCTAACTCAGAACTCCCTCTACGACCCCTTCCAATCTGGTTTCCGCCCCCACCACAGCACCGAAACCGCACTGCTAAAAATCACCAATGACCTTCTCACTGCAGCTGATTCCGGTTCACTTTCCATCCTCATCCTCCTCGACCTCAGTGCAGCCTTTGACACCATCTCCCATCCCATCCTCCTCCGTAGACTCTCCTCCATCGGCATCTCCCACACCCCTCTCCGCTGGTTCCACTCTTACCTCTCAGACCGCACACAGTTCATCCAGCTCAAATCCTTTAAGTCCGACCCCTCCCCAGTCAGTTCAGGTGGGCTCTGTCCTGGGGCCCTTGCTGTTTATCACCTACCTCCTCCCCCTTGGTTCCATCTTCTGTAAATTCAACCTTCAATATCACTGCTACGTGGACGACACCCAGCTCTACCTCTCCAGCTTACCAAACTCCACCCTCCCACCCACCTCCCTCACCACCTGCCTGTCCGAAATTAAATCCTGGTTCACCGCCAACTTTCTCCAACTAAACAGTCAGAAAACAGAAATTCTTCTAGTAGGTTCCAAATTCATCCTATCCAAAGTTGACAGTCTCTCCCTTCCCATCGTCAGCTCCTCAGTTCCCCCCTCCCCTCAGGTCAAGAGTCTGGGTGTCATCCTTGACAGTACTCTTTCCTTCAAATCCCACATCAGCCTTACCACTCGGACTGCCTACTTCCATCTCCGCCACATCAATCGGCTCCGTCCCTCCCTCTCCCCCAACACCGCCTCCATCCTCGTCCATAGTCTCGTCACCTCCAGTCTGGACTACTGCAACTCCATCCTCTTCCATTTCCCTCACACATCTCTCCATAAACTTCAACTGGTCCACAACCCCCCTGCCCGGATCATCACCAAAACCCCTTCGTCCCACCACATCACCCCCATCCTGCAGCAGCTCCACTGGCTCCCGGTCCCACTTAGGATCCAGTTCAAAATCCTCCTGTATACCTTTAAAGCCATCCACAAACTCGCCCCTACTTACCTGTCTGACCTCCTCCACATCGCCACTCCATCACACCGCCTCCGATCCTCTTCCTCTCTCCACCTCACTGTGCCCCCTGTTCACCTCAGCACCATGGAGGGCAGAGCTTTCAGTTGCTCTGCCCCCCGACTCTGGAACTCTTTACCATCACACATCTGCAACATAGACTCCCTCCCCCTCTTCAAATCCAAACTCAAGACACACCTGTTTAAACTGGCCTATCCATCCCAACACCCCTTACTCACTCTTTTAATTTAATTTTAATTGGTATTATTTATTTCTTTATTTATTCCTTTGCTGTTGTTTATGCTGCTTTGTTGATTTTAACTGTTTTGATGATTGATGATTTTCATTGTTAATAGTGCTCTGTTATCATTGTTTTATATGTTCTGTAAAGTGTCCTTGAGTGACATGAAAGGCGCTCCAAATAAAATGTATTATTATTATTATCTTCAGTCGCCTCTTCAACTCTTGTTGCACTTGTTTGAGTTGTTCTTTGTCACCATCTTTAAAAGCGATCTTTTTCTAGTTAAGGATTGCTTTTATGTCTCTTGTGATCCAGGGTTTGTTGTTGGGGAAACAGCTAACAGTTTTTGTGGGTATAACTGTGTCTCTACAGAAGTTGACATAATCAGTAAAGCAGTCAACCTGTTCATCAATGTTCATACTATCCACATCTGTTTCCAGCAGCACATTCCAGTCTGTTGATTTAAAACAGTCCCTTAGAGCTTCACTGGCTTGAGGTGTCCATCTTCTTATTTTGATTTTGGTCACAGGCTGCCTCAGCACACATGGGGCTCTATTTTCGTGTACGCCGGTGAGGCGGCGGAGGGTGGCGGACCCCGCGCAGTTGTATTTTCATCTGGCGGAGCCCGGCTTACAGCCAGTAGTATTTTCGTGGACTGAGGCGCACGGAAGCGAACCGAGATCCGCCAAGCTGGGTGTGGTGGCGTGGCAGGGGGAGGTGTCGACAGAATCAGCTGGCGCAGTGACATTTTCGTGCTCGCCAGTGGTGTGTAAAGTGCGCTGGAGGCTCGCCGATTCAAACCTGGTCAGCTTTCAGCGCAGGCAGAGCGCAGCTGGTCTAGTAGTATTTGGGTAGACTGGCGGCGTATCGGCATACATCACCGATGCCTCACCGGCAGGTAAATCTATAGCAATATTGGAGATTGCTATTTTTTGAGACATTGCATAGCACCACCTAGGCGAAAATAAGGTGCTTATTTTCTAGCCTGTCAGGTACCCCATCAGGTGTGTCCTGAACAAATCTCAGCTGCATCCCATCAATTAAGGGGTTCTGGACTTCTGGACCCAAATTTGCAAGAATATTTACTTCATGACCTCCAATCCCAATTTAAAACTTATACAATACAAAGTACTTCACAGAACTCACGTCACCGGTCATGAAATGTTTAAAATGGGATTTTCACAGACACTTACATCCATGCGATCTGGCACTGTGAGTGTGGCACATCAACACAGTACAGCCCCCCCCACTTGGATAATGGTACTGCACACCTGTCAGTCACTTCTGGAAAAATGTCACAGACATACTATCCCTGTTTCTGAGCTGCCACATTCTATCATCACCTTCCTGTTGTCTGCTAGGAGAATTAGCAGCAATGAAACTGGATAAAACACACTGTCAATTACTCCTCACAGCCCTAACTATCGCTAAGAAAACTGTCCTCATAAACTGGAAATCAAGGAACTCTATCCATATCAAACACTGGAAAAACCAGCTCACTGACCACATTTCCCTTAAAAGTACATACTCAAACAACAGCAAGGATCATGATTCTGTCTGGCTTCTCACTTCCTCTTACTAGCTTAAATATGAAAAAGTATATTTCTGTCATCCAAAATTTAATACATTTACCAGTCTATCTACTTTGGTGATGGTGGCGACTACTACACAGTATTCTACTATGCTGTCAACAACACAAAAGAAATATATGATTATCTTTGTTTCATTAGTACTATTGTTGGAATAATCTGTAAATAAGTTATCATGCTTTAGATGATTTGAACTTTTGTGTTTTGCAAAGAGATATGAAACAGTTGAACTTTTGTGCCTTGTCTTGTGCAAAGGGACATGAGAATGCTTATGTTTCTCATTATGTAAGACTTAAGAAACTATTGCATAGTTGACGGTTGCAGAAGTTTGCAGAAGTAAATGACTATGAATAATCATGAAATAAAGGATGCCCTTGTGGAAGAACTGGTCAGAGAGGGACTGACTGAGAACTTGAGCAGTTCTCCTCAACCGTTCTTTCCTTGGTCAAGTAAAACCTTTTTTGGTCTCTTCTGTGTTCTTGAATCCTCCTAATTGTTAAGTATGTCCACGTGAACCTGACAACTATACTATAATGATGTTATTTGAAATTCATTGTTATACCATGGATGGGATATTTATATTTTATCATAACATCATATAAATTATCATATCATGTATAATATATTTAGTTTGTATTACTAGATCATTCAGATTATTGTAACATTTAATAAATTTTATATCGTTGTCATGTTTTTTTTTTCTCATGCTGAGTTATATAAACAGTAATCATGTTTATATCAATTATGTTAATGGCACGGGAAAAAAGGGATAAGAAAAAAAGGAAGGGAAAAAAGCTACGAAGGTGGGAAATTACAAATTAATAAAAAAGGTTATGGCATTACCATTTTTATTATTGCCATTATTATTATATTATTATTACAATTATTATCATTATTAATAGCAGTAGTAGTAGTAGCAGTTGAAGAAGTGGTGGTAGTGGTAGTAATAGTAGTAGTAGTAGTAGTATTACTGTTGCTATTTCTATTCCTCTTGAACATTCAGTATTTTTTTTCCATGCTAATTCTCCCCCACTAGACCTCTTTTTAATAGTCTATATACCCACAGACACATACACATACACACACAACCACCCCCTCCACCCACACACACAAATAGCTATGATGACATAACCGCATATCGCATATGCCTGTCCGACATGTTGGTGGCACCGCCCCTGATAATGGTTAGCCCAGCCCTCTAAAACTTCTTTATTGAGTTCACACTCTCTAGCATCTACCTTTGGGACCTTTGATGTAGACTTAGAGCTGGTGGATGAAGGCTTCCACATACTCCAAAAGGTCTAAAATATCTAAAACCAACTCCTGAGTAAGTTGGAGCAGATCCTCCGTAGCCCCTGTGTTTTGAATGACTTCCATGCTTCAGACCAAAGCAATGGATCACACTAGATTAGTCCCGCCCACTGACTTTGACAGGTGAGTTTGACAGCTAAAATATATTCATGAAGCACTGCAACACAGGTCCATGAAATAATTAATAAAACAGTGAAATAATTATATATGTTTTTACATTAAATGAACTGGTATTTTAATAAATTTATGACACATTTAATGACACATTTATGTATTAAATTCCCATTTTAATTAATAACACATTTAAGTATTTATTTAATGATGTATTTATATATTTCATTTTTCTCTCTTTTCTTCCTCCAAAGACAAACAGGTAGAAGTGATAATCATAGGTTTGTATGCGGGAAAAGCATTCAACTCTGTGAGGTGGGACTTTTTATACACAGTGCTTGAGCAATTGAACTTTTATGAGAACTTTATAAGAACTATACAAGCTTTATACAATAATCCAGCAGCTATGATAAAGATAAATGGGAGTCTGTCAAATTCTTTTACACAGTCCTCTCCTTTTCTGCATTTTTTTTTTTTTAACCCTTGAGTCAATTGATAAAACAAAATTAAAACAAAAAAGGCATGAATTTGAATGGAGGGGTTCAGAAAATAGGATTATTTGCAGACAACATCCTGATGTTCAGATGTATTTAACAAAGCCTAGAATATCTTTTCAGGCACTTATGCCAAATCTAAGGGTGTGTTCACACCTGAAAGTCCAGACCAAGGTCCGAACCAAGGTCTGTGTTTTTGTTACATTGTATAAATTTGGTTTAGCAACTACATGCTTTGCGTGTCTCTGTAGTTTACATTGATTGGTCATTTGGCCGGCAGGTGTCTGACGTCAACACGTTGAATAACGTGGGTCTTGAATATTGTAAACATGGATAAAATCGTCATTCCCCCCATCATATTTTTGTTGATTTTTAACTACCAACAGTGGTAACTGTAAGAGCTGTACATGAGGCTGGTTAGAGTTCATCTTATCAAATCATATCATAACAGTAGTTGTTTACATTCCACCCAAATTAACTGAAGAATGTTGCGATGTTTTGCAAAATAGTGTTGTCAGGCCATAGACTCAACACCCTGAGGCACTATTAATAATATCGGGAGACTTCAACCATGTCACCCTCTCCTCTCACCTGACTGGATTCACACAGTTTGTGAACTGTCCTACCTGTGAAAACAAAACCCTGGATCTGCTGTATGCCAAAGTCAAAGAAGCCGACAGAGCCACTGCCTTACCACCACTGGGCAAGTCAGATCACACTGGAGTGGGACAACTTTGAGGTTGTGTGGAAAAACTTGATTCACTTTATAGCGCCAATAAGACTGGATTTTAACTGAGAATAGACAAAAACAAAATATACCTCTTGAAGATACCCATGGCTCATAGCTACAATTTTAAAATTATTAGATATGTTCATGTTTCTTCCTTGTGCCTTGTATTTTCATTTTGTGTAAAAATGATATCATGTATAAGAGAGATGAAAAGGGAGTGTGTGCAAAATTTAAATGTTACATGTAATGAAACTTGTCTCAATAAAGAGAGAATTAAAAAAAAAATCAGTAAAGAATTTTTTACAGAGTCAGGCATCAGAAAAAGGCATCTCTATTTAAAGAAATATCTCTCATTCAGAAGCTCCAACATTGACATATAAATTCAAACAGCTCAGGACAGACAGAGAGAGTGACCTCTGACCTTCATGGCTCTCATCAATTCATGACAGTCATACGCTGCAGGGGGAGTCACCAGAGCCACCAACAGGTCCTCAAAGTCCCCACCAGTGTCTCCTCTCAGGTCATCCACCAACATCTGAACACACACATACACACATGAGCACACACGAGTGCAAATGTACACACAAGCACAGACTCACTTTAGGTAAAACTTTAAAGTTTCACACACAGAGAGATCATAATCGAAGGAGATGGAAATTAGCTGTGTTGAAAACATTTGTCTATTAAAAATCAGAGTAACTCATTTTTATTTAGTCAATATTTAACCCTTTGTCGTTCCTATCCTCTTACCTCTCTACTTCTTAATCTGCAATTATGATATTTGTGTAACTGAAATATTTATTCATCTCAAAGTGCATGTGCTTATTTTTCAACATCACCTCGCTGTGCATAAACTGAGGGCAGGGTATGCATTACTTCCCTTTTGCAGAAATGTTTGTTGTGTTACAATGGAAACCTAAACATTTTTCACTTAGAGGGTGAGTTTGTTCCTCAGTTTGTGGCATGTTTTACAGTCAAATCTAAGAAGGTTGTCTATTCTTCCCTCAGTCAAACCCATCTGTCTTTTCCCTTATACTTGTCCTGTCCAGACTTTGACTGCAGGTCATCAGAAGGCCCACAGAGTGGTTATAGTTATCATAATATTTTAACCATCAAACAAACTAATGTGAATTGTAAAGACAGATTTCCTGTGAGTTTAAACTTATGTTCTGTAAAATGAGGCCCTAATGAGGAAGAATGATCTGCCTCTCTCAGAACAGGTCATACTACAGACTCAGTGTTGTGTTGTTAAAGCTGAATACAGATTATAACAGAACGTGTGTTACTGACAGCAGATTTCTTACTCTGCCTGTGGCCTCTTCATAAGCTGCACAGATGAGCTGCCTCTGAGAGCTGCTTCTGTGGGTCAAGACATCCACCAGAGTCTCCTCTTTGGTTCCTGGATCACATTAAGAAGGATGGAAGACAATGTAAAGGAAAAAAATGCAATTAATATTACAAGATATGAAACAGGTTCGGAGTCTGAGAGTCTGAGCAGTGGAAATCAGACTGTTAAAAACAAACAGATGAACATGACATGAGAGTAGTAAAGTTACCGGTTGTGGAGAAGAGTAGTTAAAATGAGGGCTGTGGAGCATTTAGATGAAGTGTACTTCAGTATAGGTTTGACAGACATGGAGATACTTAATCCTTTGGTACATCAGCATAACATTGTCTAGAGTATCAAAATTTTAAAAATAATATATAAGAAATGCATCATTTCCACAGAAAAAAACAGGTGGACTTTGAGGGAATCGCTGCTTTTGTGGAGGGGAAAATGGCTGGAAATGGCTGTACAGAGGCTAAATCTGTCAATGCAGCTGTTAATAGCAATAGCATAGAGCTTTAGGTTATCATATGAGTCTATATGCCATGAGGTATTGAGGCCTTAGCAGGTGCAGGTTACTGTTGGCCGGAGCTTGACTCCCTCTGGATCACAAATGTTGATCAGTTGGATTGTTTTTTGGGAAACAAACCACAAAAGCCCTCTGAATGGTCTGATGATGCATCCATGATAACCCTGCACTTGCCCAGTTCCAGCCATTTCCCCCTCCACAAAAGCAGCTTTAAGACTTTATTCTTGTAAGTTTACGACTTTATTCCCATTAATAATTACTTTATTCTCATAAGTAATGACTTTAATCTTAAAATCTTTTTTTTTTTTCCTCCTATGGCCCCAAAATTCTGTCATAAATGAAGGACAAACTCATTTACACCAAATTAATTGTTGTATTTACAACTTTCGGGACAAAATATGACAACAAGAAAACCTGAATCATGTAAGTCAGTGGTCTCCATATGGCGGACCGCGGTCCACTTCCGGACCAGGAAAGAGTCCAATACGGACCCGAGCCTACCGCAGAAAAATGTATGTTTTTTCTCTCTCTTGTAGGCCTGCACGATATACGTGTGTGCGATAGTCACATTGCAGAGCCTGCGATGTCGGAGGTGAATGAACTCAGTTAATTTCAAGGGTAACTGACTGAGATACACTGCATGTGACTCTGCATGTGCTATGTAGCGATCCACCAATCACCTTTGTCCTTTACTCAGTTGCCAATCAGACTCAGTTCTCAGTTGCCAATCAGACTATCCTGCCAGCTGTCAATCAAAATCAGAGAGGAGGAAACCCACCCCTGCACATGTTCTGCACATGGAGGTACTCGCTGGCTGCTGGTGTTGAGCCGAGAAACGCGTGTCTGCTGAGAATTACTTTCGGAACTTTACTCATGACTGTTAAGCCCAACAAATAAGAACTGTATGGATTTTAAATGGTACATTTCCATGGACCACTCTATTATAAGCGGTGCGCATTTTGCGAGGTGCATGCAATTCTCGGAGGACATGCGTTTCTCGGCACAACACCGCTAACAACAACAACAACAACAAAGATTGCAAAATGAGCAACGAACAAGAGAAAACCACCGAAAATTAAGATTTGTTGCCAAAAAGAGAAGGAAAGTCAGTTATCTGGAATTATTTCGGTTAAAAGAAGGATGATGTCGACCAAAACACGTGTTCTGTGTTCAGCTGTCGCCACAATAACGTCCCAGCACAATAAAAGCTAAAAATATCTCTGAGACAGACAGAAGCCATTCTAACATTCACAAAAAGAGGTAAGATCAGTGCAGGTTAACTGTCCTCAAGATTTCAGCGGTGCAGCATATCATTAAATGCTATTCAGGTCATCTGGTGAAAATTCCTATATTTTTAATATCACAATATATATCGCAGGGTTGAAAAAAATCGCCATGTTGGTTTTTTCCAATATCGTGCAGCCTTACTCTCTTGCTTTGTGCCTGGTTCAGTAAACTGCACGTGCAATTTCAGCAAGGCATTACATCACTTGCTTACTCGCTTGACTTGTCAATCAAATCAGACCTCTTAGCCTACTCGACACACGAAGATTACCGAGCAATCCCGATGTTGAAAACTGTCAGGCGGCAGACTGAGGAGAAAGTTGTAGCAGCAGCTAAACATGTCGGCTTCCAAACCACAAAAGTTAGAGAATGAGAACAGGGTGTTTTATTGCGAGTGGACCGAGTCATTTGCATTCATTTTACCCGCAGGAAGCACACAGCCAATTGAAAGTAGGCAGTTATTGGCAATACAAATGAAGGGAATATTTCAAAAGAGTAATGCACTGTAACAAAATAAATAAATAAAAATCCCTGGACCCAGGCCTGCAGGCATGTCATTCAGGTGGACCCACTGAAAATTTATATGAAGACCCCTGATGTAAGTGTTAATAAAAATGAAATGAATAAAAAAAAAAGAATGTTAAAAATTTACACACACACACACACACACACACACACACACACACACACACACACACACACACATATACATACACACACCTATACATGTACATGTAGATATGTGCATATACACAACTTACAAATAACTAAATAAATGAAATTCAAACAGCACAGAATGACCTGAAGAAGTCAGGAAACGATATCCTGAGATCATAATGAGGAAAAACCAGAGGTAAGATTAAAATGTTAAAATTCAAAATATAAGATTAAGAGAATAGATAAATAAAATGACATAACAAATAGAATGACAGAATGCTAAAACCTAAATGAACACTATAAACATACCATACTAAAAAATACTAGGTGAGAGAAAAAAAAAGTCAGAAAAAATGATAAAACAGAATAAGAGTCGGAAAAGAATTAATATTAAATATTAAAACTTTAATCAATATATTAATAAATAAATACTAAACTCAACTAAAAGTCTTTGTTCTGACCTAAAAGTTCTGACTTAAAATCAATTCTAAAAGATACTGGAAGCCAATGCAGAGACCTTAAAATGGGTGTAATGTGAGCTCTCTTTCTGGTCTTTATCAGCATCTTAGCAGCTGAGTTTTGCAGAAGCTGAAGCTGAGATGTTCTTTTTAGGAAGACCAGAAAGAAGAGCGTTACAGTCGTCAATTCTGCAAGTAATAAAAGCATGGACTGGAGTCTCTGCATTGGCGTGAGAGATAAACTGTTTGACTCTAGCAAAAGATTTTTTTTTTAATAAAAAGCTTTCTATGTAATCTCTCTGATGTGTGTCTCAGGATTAAGATGTTGGTCAAATATTACACCTAGATTCTTCACTTGGTTACATGGATTAAAAGACAGTGTTTAGAGTTTTGCATCCAGTTTCTCTCTGTGAACTCCAGTACTAGTGACTAAAACCTGCATTTTGTCCTGGTTGAGTTGTAAAAAGTTGTCTGCCATCTATGACTTGATATCTAAAATACAGTTAAAAAGGTTAGCAATCGGTCCTGGGTCGTCATGAGACACAGCAATATAGAGCTGTGTGTCATCTGCAAAGCTGTGAAAGTTAATGCTGTGTCTCCTAATGACAGTTACCAGAGGCAACATGTAGAGGTTAAAAACTGTCAGACCTAAAATTGAACCTTGGGGAACACCACAATTATATAAACTTGATGAGCAGTTCCCCATGCTGATTTAACTATTAAAATCAGGGATGACAGTACATTCAAATGATGCGCTTGAACCGAGAGGTTGCTGGAAGTCTGGTCTCTCTGTATTATCTGTAATTTTTGTAATTTATGCTAGATTTTTTTCATATTTTTGTTGTAATTTTGTTAGCTGCTGATGAATACTTCTGCTGGGCAAAGAGTTTACTCAAGAGAAGAGCTCCTTTTATTGAGAAAAAGCAAATCTGGACAACAACATACAATTCCAGAGGACATCATGAGGTGTTATCGCGGTTGCCATGCTGGTGCAAAGGTGAAGGCAACGCCGAATGCTAGGAGGAGGCGATATAAACCCTTTCTTCCATTAATCATCATGGGAAACATCAACTCTCTGCCCAACAAAAGCGATGAGCTGGAGATCTTGGTGAAGACTGACAAAGCATACCGTGAGTGCAGTTTCCTGTGTTTTACTGAAACCTGGTTGAATCAAAACAACTCGGACTCCAGTGTGGCTCTACCTAGCTCGACTCTCATAAGGTCAGACAGAGATGCTCAAGCTAGTGGCAAGAAGAAAGGAGAAGGTCAGGCTTTATTTGTCAACCAGAGATGGTGTAACCCTTCACACATAACTGTCAAAGAGAAGTTGTGTTGTCCAGATATCGAACTGTTGGCAGTTGTTGCTCTTCGGCCATATTATGTTCCAAGAGAATTTAGTCATATCATAACAGTAGTTGTTTACATTCCACCCAAATTAACTGAAGAATGTTGCGATGTTTTGCAAAATAGTGTTGCCAGGCTACAGACTCAACACCCTGAGGCACTAATAATAATATCGGGAGACTTCAACCATGTCACCCTCTCCTCTCACCTGACTGGATTCACACAGTTTGTGAACTGTCCTACCAGAGAAAACAAAACCCTGGATCTGATGTATGTCAATGTCAAAGAAGCCGACAGAGCCACTGCCTTACCACCACTGGACAAGTCAGATCATAACTTGGTCTATCTGCAAACCTGTTACAGACCTTGTGTACTGAGGCAGCCTGTGACCAAAGTCAAAATCAGAAGTTGGACACCTCAAGCCAGTGAAGCTCTAAGGGACTGTTTTAAATCAACAGACTGGAATGTGCTGCTGGAAACAGATGAGGATAGTATGAACATTGATAAACAGGTTGACTGCTTTACTGATTATGTCAACTTCTGTAGAGACACAGTTATACCCACAAAAACTGTTAGCTGTTTCCCCAACAACGAACCCTGGATCACAAGAGACAAAAAAGCAACCCTTGACCAGAAAAAGAAAGCTTTTAAAGATGGTGACAAATAACAACTCAAACAAGTGCAACAAGAGTTGAAGAGGAAACTGAAGATGGCAAAGCTGGAGTACAAAAAGAAGATAGAGAATCATCTACAACACAGCAACATCCGTGAAGTGTGGAGAGGAATCAGTACCATCTCTGGACACAGCAGTCAAAAGAGAAGACAGCCAGTAGTGGGTGATGTGAAAAGAGCTGATGAACTCAACCTGTTCTTCAACAGATTTGACACTGCTGTCACTCCCACTTCCACTGCTACTCCACCTTCCTCTCCACAACAAATCTCCACTACAACTTCTCCCCTTCCTCCTCCATCTCGTTCAAATGTCTCAACCACTTCAACTGCCTCCCTCCTAGAACACCAGTCCTTGTCTGTCACTGAAACAGGGGTGAGGATGGAGTTTGGAAGACTTTGTCCTGGGAAGGCAGCTGGTCCAGATGGTGTGTGTCCAAGGCTGCCTAGAGACTGTGCTGCAGAACTGTGTCAACCTCTCTACAGGATCTTCAACCTGAGTCTACAGCTGGGTCGGGTACCTACTCTGTGAAAACATCCTGCATTGTGCCAGTACCAAAAACAAAATGTCCTGCTGAACTCAATGACTACAGACCAGTGGCCCTCACTTCCCACATCATGAAAACCCTGGAGCAGCTGATTCTACGCCCTCTGAGGTCTGAGGTCAAAGACAAACTGGACTCCCTGCAGTTTGCATACAAAGAACACATCAGAGTGGATGATGCTGTCCTCTACATGCTTCACCGTGCCCTGTGTCATCTGGAGGAACCTGCGGTTTATGTGAGGATCATGTTCTTCGACTTTTAAAGTGTATTCAACACCATCCAACCCACCATACTCAAAGACAAGCTCACAGAGATGGGAGTGGATCCTTCCTGTGTTTCCTAGATCGCAGATTACCTGACAGGAAGGCCACAGTTTGTCAGGATGGGGAACTGTGTTTCTGGGACATTAATGAGCAGTACAGGGGCTCCACAAGGGACAGTGCTGGTGCCATTCCTGTTCACACTGTATACGTCAGACTTAAAATACAGTACTGAGTCCTGCCACATCCAGAAATACTCAGATGACACCGCTATTGTGGCATGTATCAGAAATGGACAAGAAGCTGAATACAGAGATCTAATAAGAGACTTCAGTGACTGGAGTCACAAAAACTGCCTCCTCCTCAACACCTCAAAGACAAAGGAGATGGTCATAGACTTCTGTAGATCCAAACCCACTCTTCAGCCAGTGGACATCGAAGGGGTGACATCATATAAATACCTAGGTGTACATCTGGATAATAAGTTGGACTGGTCTAAGAATATAGACTACATCTAGAGAAAGGGGCAGAGCCGTCTCTTTTGCCTGAGAAGACTCCGATCAATAGACGTCTGTAGTAAGACGCTGCAGATGTTTTATCAGTCTGTGGTGGCCAGTGTGCTGTTCTACGCTGCAGTCTGCTGGGGAGGAAGCATCAA